TTCCAAGCAGCTTCCCAGTGGCAGCCACTGGCAGCCCCTCCAAAGTGCCCGAGCAGCAAGTGGGGGCTGCTGCCAGAATGCTGCTTCCTGCTGGAGATGGTATGGAGCAGCCATCCTCACTGGTGCCTTAAGAGTGGTCCTCTGAAGCCGGCAGCAAGGGAGCCTGGGCTAGGGAGCCTGGGCTCCCTGTGCAAGGAGGAGTGGAGGGGTCTCCTCTTGAACTGCTGGTGAGGAAGGCCTGGAGGTAGAGCTTGCAACTGGCATCCTTGGAGACCTACTCTTGGGCAGGAGGTAGGAGGAGGCAGGGGACCCTATCTGCAGTGCTGCTTGGGGACAGGGCACTGCTGCCAGAGAGGCCATTCCCGAGCAGGTGTTGGAAGGAGGTGGGGGGCCAGTCCCTTCAGTCACCCTGCCCTGCGGATGTTCAGGAATCTGACCTCCCTAGCCAGTCAGCCCCAAGAAGGTCTGTTTTAATATGTCTACCAAAGGTGCTGAATGTCTGGTGGAGGAGCCCAGCTCTCCGCACCATGGAGTAGGGAAGCCCTCCCCTACAGGAGCTCTCCCACGGCCACCTCACATTCTCTTGCCCCCCACCCCCACCTTAAACCTGTGGTGGCTTGGTGGCTTTTGCACCGTTTCCTCTTATTTTAAAAGGCTTTTGTCACACTTCCTGGCAGGGAGGGGATTTAGCTAAAAGGAGCTGCTGCTTTTCCTGTTTTCAGCACGGCTCACCACAGCAGCTTCAAGAGCTCCCCCAAAATAGGCTTCAGTTCTTGCACTGAAAGAGATTCTGCATTCCAGGCAACAAAGCGGTGGCTCATACCTTGCCAGCTGAGCCAAGGACTGCCTGCATCTATGTTAGCAGGATCCGGCTTTGGCACACACTGTAGGATTTACTCTAAGAACTGTTTTCAATTGCACAAGAATCTGGTATTGCCCTAACTCCACCCCATGCATTTCTTAGAATTTTTCTAAGAGAAAATAATAAAAGAAAATAGTTCATATTCCCAGCTACACAAACACTTACATTTCCACTGAACAGGTTTTTCTCAAGTGCAAAAAGTGTCCAACTGCATTTTAGAATAAAATATCTTCATTCGGGCATGTATTATATGGAGTTTTCATGGAACTGATTCTAAATCATCTTCCTTTGGAAACATATGATGAACCCATGTTATTATTTTCTTGGATGAGGCTTTTTATTGTGCACTCATCATTCCCCACTCTTCATCGTTTATTGGTGCTTCAGATGACGTCATCCTCCAGTTTCACTTCTGGTTTTTAGAAGCATTTTATGGTGGTGATGTTGCAGTGAGGAAGATACAGAGTTATTTGTGAAAACAAACCAACCTGCTAATTCTCAGGAATGCAATTGTATTATTTCTTTATACCACAGTGCCACCTAGAAGATATGTAGGAAAACAATCTTCGTAGAGCGCTGATCGTAATTCTGCTGCAGAACCCAAAGTACAAAAGCACAGAGTCTTGTGGTGCAGCAAAGATCAACATATTCATTCCAACAAAAGCTTTCATAGTCTATGGTCCACTTCATCTCTGCAAGTTGTGGACAGTTTCAGATTTATATATTCCATGTGTCTGATGACATGCATTACAATCTGTTGAAGTATATGCCAGAAAGAATTTATTAGCCTGAAAGAGTCCTGTTGTTTTTGGTCCAACAGATTAACATGACCAGCCTCTGGAAATTATTACATATGACAGTGATTCTGGAATGCTATTCTGAGTCATGGTAACATATGTATTTTATTTACTGCAAATGTGGCAAGTTACATGGTTGCTGGACTGACAACTCATGAGGCTCTCTTTACAGGCTGGAAGCCGCAGGAATATCATTAGAAAGTTGCTTTACAGGACTGGTCCTACAATTTAATTAGGAAAGATAAAGCTGAGAGAGAGACAGAGAGACTCTGTATGCTTGGCTGCCTAGGATCACAGCTGTATTGCATAGCATGCACACAACCAACAAAATTCTGCAGCCAGCTAGATAACTTGAGCCAAGAAAATCTGGATTCAGCACTTTTTACATTAGACAGCTGTAAATGCTTAATTTGGCTTCTCCTGATTGTGGAGGCTGACTGAGCTATATACGATGCCTGTCTTATCTAATAGAGCTGCTGTGATCAGTTACCTCAGTTACCCAATCCAGTTTGAGGCACTCACCAGGTGAGCATGCTCACTGCAGCCACCGCAGCTTATTAAGCCACACGCCTCTGGGCACCTAGTTGTTTATTCAGGACCCAACTGAAGTATATCTGCCACAGCCCTGGTGCTGATGCTGCGTGTGTTGGCCACTTTCCCCATTGCCCTCGGCCGTGTGCCCCAGGGCACTTCTCTTGCTACCCAACAAAGTAGCAGTTTCCTCTCACAACTTTGTTTGATTAGGTTTCTGTCAACATCAACACATATGCTAAACTTACATAAGGATAGACAAAATGTCCACATATTGATCCATTTGCAGGTAGCATCTAAATACCACCCATTCAAATACGTTGCAGTTTAAATCCACTGCGTTGCAGCAGTCAGGTGTTCATCTTTCTAATGCTGTAATGTTGGTCTTTTGCCCGTCAGAAAATGAAGATCCATTTATGTTATGCTTGTCTTGACTTCCACACAGCAGGCGAGGGCACCATCCGCTGTGGCTGCCCATAACCCTCCAAACTCAAAGAATGATGGGCATCTAACAGAGGGCAGAAGGAGCAGAGGCCAGGATGGCCTGGGTACTTCGCTGACCCCCAAAGTGCTGACAGCTGATCGGGGCTATGCAAGTGTTTTAGGCTGGCTTGCAAGGAGAGCAGCCAAGGGGCCATGAAGAATCCTTGTAAGGTGGTGGCAGCGCACAGTCCCATCTCCACCCACCATATGCTGGCCCCATGGTGGTTCTTGCATCCTCAGAGCTGCAGCTGGCACAGAAGGAAGTGCACTGGCTGTGAGGGTGGCGGGAGTCTCAGCTTTGACCACAGAGTGCTCCCCGGAGTCAGCATAGCAGCATGGGATTACACCCTCAACAATTCAGCAGGGCAAGTGCATCGGTAGGTATTAGAGAGCATTCTGGCACTAATGGCCCATCCTATTATTACTTTGCATTTTTATCCCATCTTTATTCCTTTACCGAGCGAGGAACTAAGACAGTTTACAAGGTTCTCCAGCTCTCTGTACTATCCTCACAACAACAGCCCTGTGAGGTAGGTCAGACTGTGCAGCAGTGACTGGCTCACAGTCACCCAGTGAGCTCCATGGCTGAGCAGGGACTAGAACCCAGATCACCTGGGTCCCACGCCAGCACTCGTAACCATTGCACCACACTGGCCCTCTAATCACACATGGCTTCTCACCTGTCCTATAAGCCAGTGGTTCTCAGCCGCTGGTCCGTGGGAGATTTCCTGCTGGTCCAGGAGGGGAAGCTGCGTCCCGCTTGCCGCAGACCAGCACAGGCGCTGGCTGTGCTGCGCCACCTCTTCCTCGGTTGGCCATGCATTGGGGTGCGCTAGTGCTGCCGGGAAGGGGCCAAGGAGGGGAAGGATGGCGTGGTGGGAGCCAGCTGGGAGCCATGCTACACTGTTTTCCGTATTTTGTTCTTTTCTTGGCATTTTTTGTTGCTTGGTTTCTGCTTGTTTTGAAGAATTTTCATTTTTTTTGGTATTGTGTTTGGAAACTAACACAGAGAATACTGTGTTATGTGTATGGTGCTTTTCGTTTCTGCCTTAGCAGTCTCCAATGTGGAAGTTCTTTGGAACTGCTCTGCTTCTGTAACTACCTGTTAGTGTCCAGTGGCTTACCATGTACTTTACAGAAATGTTTTCAGCAGTAGCTGGAATGGTCACTAAGCGTACAATTCCATTGGAAAGGTAACACTTTTATTACTTTTGGGTAACAAAACGTTTGAAAATTATGATGGCATTACTGTTTCCTATGGTAGGAACTCCCCCACCACTTAACATATCAGCTCCAGGAAGTGCTGATGGCAAACCGGTGTGTCTCCAGCTTCTCCTGGCCTTTGTGAACCAGTTTCTTCATGCTGTTGGCCACAGAAATTAGGTAACACCAATTCCATTTCTTAAAGCACATTTGCTAGTTCTTGGCAAATATAAAGAACTTGAGCTGCAGGTCCAGGAACTGCCTTCTGCAATAGGATGGCCTCCACTCATGGAAGATCCCTCTGCCTAATTTTTGGAGCCTCCCCTCTCCCCCGGCCCCATCACAGCTCACAGCATTCGGCAGGATCTCCTTCGGACAACCCATGTAGCATTTTCTGGGTGCTGGAGTAACTGTGCTGTGAGAGAGGAGGTGGGGAAGTCCAAGTCCATAGCTCAGTGGAATTCCATCAGAATTCTGGATCCAAACCAAGAGAACTTAGCCTTAAAGAAGTTGCTATGTAACATTTTAAAGTAGCATGCAGTATTAAATATGTGAGGAAAAGCCCCAAACAAAATCACAAAGGAGACTGCAGATATGACCCCGGAAGATGAGCACCTCAGGTCGGAAAGTGTCCAATATGCTACTGGGGAAGAGCGGACGGCTAGTACTAGTAGCACCAGAAAGAATGAAGCAACTGGGTCAAAACCAAAAGGACACTCAGTTGCAGATGTATCTGGTGGTGAAAGGAGAGTCCGATGCTGTAAAGATCTATACCCCATAGGCACCTAGAATGTAAGATCCATGAATCAAGGCAAGCTGGATGTGGTCAAACAAGAGATGACAAAACTGAACATCGACATCTTAGGAATCAGTGAACTAAAATGGACAGGAGTAGGTGAATTTAATTCAGATGGCCATCAGGTATACTACTATGGGCAAGAATCCCTCAGAAGAAATCCAGTAGCCTTCATAGTCAATAAAAGAGTAGGAAAAGCAGTACTGGGATACAATCTCCAAAATGGCAGAATGATTTCAGTTCAAATCCAAGGCAAACCATTCAACATCACAATAGTCCAAATCTATGCCCCAACCACTGATGCTGAAGAGGCTGAAGTTGGCCGGTTCTATGAAGGCCTACAACACCTTCTAGAATTAACACCAAAAAATGATGTCCTTATCATCATGGGGGATTGGAATGCTAAAGTGGGAAGTCAAAAGATAACCGGAATAACAGGCAAATAACAGGCACAAAAGGAAGCAGGGCACAGGCTGGTAGAATTTGTTAAGAGAATACGATGATCATAGCAAAAACTCTTTTCCAACAACCCAAGAGATGACTCTACACATGGACATCACCAGACGGTCAACACAGACATCAGATTGACTATGTGCTCTGCAGCCAAAGATGGAGAAGCTCTATACAGTCAGTAAAAGCACTATACAGTGAGTAAAAACAAGACAAGGAGCAGACTGTGGCCCAGATCATGAGCTTCTTGTTGCAAAATTCAGGCTTAAAGTGAAGAGAGTAGGGAAAAGCACTAGGCCACCTAAATCATATTCCTGATGAATTTACAGTAGAGGTGACAAATAGTTTTAAGGAATTAGATCTGATAGAGAGAGTGCCTGAAGAACTATGGACGGAAGTTCGCAACATTGTACAAGAGGTAGCAACAAAAACCAACCCAAAGAAAAAGAAATGCAAGAAAGCAAAATGGCTGTCTGAGGAAGCTTTACAAATAGCTGAGGAAAGAAGGGAAGAGAAAGGGAAGGGAGAAAGAGAAAGATACAACCAACTGAATGCAGAATTCCAGAGAATAGCTAGAAGAGATAAGAATGCCTTCTTAAATGAACAGTGCAATGAAATAGAAGAAAACAATAGAATAGGGAGGACCAGAGATCTCTTCAAGAAAATTGGAGATATGAAGGGAATGTTTCATGCCAAGATGGGCATGATAAAGGACCAAAATGGCATTGACCTAACAGAGGCAGAAGAGATTAAGAAGAGGTGGCAAGATTGCACAGAAGAACTTTACAAGAAAGAGCTGGAGAAGACCCTAATGATGGGAACAATTGAAGGGAGAAGAAGAAGGGGACGACAGGTAATGAGGTGGCTAGATGGATGTCATTGAAGCAGTCAGTGTGAGCTTAAGTGGACTCACAGGAAGGCCTGGTGGAATGTTGTCCATGGGGTTGCGATGGGTCAGACATGACTTCACGACTAACAACAGCAACAACAACAACAGCAACAATGGTTATTTTAAGTGTACTAGGCTCATAGAAAGAAGCTGTAGAAGGCAGTCAGGTTTTGCAAAGAATAATATGCAATCACATCCATCTAATGCTACAGAAGATTTAGTCCAGATTTCTTCCACCAGCTATGCCAGCTGAGGGACTGTTGGAGTCATAGTCCAGCATATACAAAAGGCACCTGGTCTGGTCTAAAGGGTAATTCGTAATCTGAGTTTGTGGAAATTATTTCTTGGGGTTATCTCCATGGCTGCTTTATAGAGTATACATTAATGGCAGCGGAGAGGCAAAGATTTATTTCTACCTTTCTGTTAGGGCCAGTCCTCACATTTATTCGTATATTTGATTTATATTCCACCGAATTAGAGATAGGCTCTCTAGGCAGTTTACATACAATCAAAAAGAGTAAATTCAACAATAGAATAAAACAATAAAGTCAATAAAATTAACAATAATGGAACAACTTATTATAATAATGAAAATAAATTAAATAGATAAAATAAATAACCAAATGATAAATTAATAAACTGAGAGGGGAATATAAAGGAATTATCCAATAATACAACATAGATCACAACTAAAATTTAAAAAACCATGGAACAAAAAGGTTTTCTGTTGTCGCCTGAAAGAATGCAGTGTCACTGCCAGCCTAATTTCTCGAAGGATTCAATTTCATAAAGAGAATGCCCTCCTCCTTGCCAGCTCCCTCATCAAATTCACTTGGGGGAGGAATGTAGACGAGGGCCTTGGCATTGACTGCAGTGATCAGGAAAGTATATATGGAGAAAGGTGCTCCCTCAAATAGCGTGGCCCCAAGCTGTTTAGGGCCTGATAAGCTATTGTAAGCAATTTAAATTGGGCTTGCACAGCAACCGGCAGCCGATGTAGCCTATATAGGACTGGCATAATGTGCTCATGAGCTCTGCTCCTAGTTAGCAGGTGCACTGCCTGATTTTTGAACAGGTGGCACTGTTTGGGCTGTCTTCAAAGAGTGCATTGCAGTAATCTGCGTGGGAGGTTAGCAGTGCTTGGATAACCACGGCAAGGCCCCACTCATCCAAGTAGGGATGCAGCTGATAAACCAGTCAATAAGCATTCCTAGACATCGAGTCTACCTGAGCTGCAAGTGCCAACTTGGGATGCAGGAACAGTCCAAGGCTGCAAACCTTATCCTTTAGGGGAGTGCATCCCCATCCAGGATAGGTTGAAAATTCCCCAGTTGAACAGATGGACTCCCCACCAACAGCACCTCCATCTTATCTGACGAGCTTCAGCTTATTGGCTCACAAACTAGCCCATTATCAAGCTCAGACACTGGTTCAGAGCAGTCACCTGGATTAGATGCAAATGAGAGGCAGAGCTGAGTGTCATCCGTGTACTGATGTCACCTTTGCCCAAATGTCCTGATGACCCAACCGAGCAGTTTCATGTAGATATTAAAGAGCATGAGGGACTAATGGAGCCAAAGGTCATGGAGCAGAGCAAAAGTCCCCCAGCGCCACCATCTGGATGGTCAGCCAGATTGGAGAAGAACCACTGCAGAGCAGTGCCCCCAACGCCCAATCTAGCAGGGGTGCACAAGGTTTGGCTTTTCTGGGAGGTTCAGGGGCTACATCCACCCACACTGGTGTGTGGGGAGACACATACAGATACACAGTGTGGTAGCAAGACATGTACACATATACTGTGGTGGGGACATACACATACTTTGAGACACTATAGAAAAGAGGAAGCAGCAGTGTTGCCCACCAACCCTGACTCAACTTGAGTGAGAAGGAAATGCACAGACATTGAAGTGAGCCACTGCAAACTAAAAGTTGTGCCTGTGATGTGGAGGGCCCAGGCCTGCGATCTGTCACAGAAGACCAGGCGGGAGACAAATTGTTCATGAGAAGGTTGTTGTACTGCTGTGTTTTCTTCGAAGGTCTTTGTCAAAAGCCGAATGCTTTCTTTGGCACAGGAGATTCCAGCACTGTTTTTGGAATTCTGAGGAGGCATAATAATAGATCAAGGGGTCGATACAGCAGTTGAGGGTACCAGCACAGAGACATAATAAATGAGCAACATAGAGATGCTCCAGTTGTTCATCTGGCCAAAAATCTTGCATCAGGAGCATGACATGTGTTGGGCCAAAGCAAGCAATAAAAGAGCACAGGACAGCTGAAGTCAAGAGGATGGCATGCTTCTTCTTACCCAGGTTTCCAGCAACATTAGATGCAGCAAGCTTCCGTATTATGCACACATAGCAGGTGGTAGAGATTAACAATGGAATGAAAAAGAACATCACAGATAATGCAGTGTAGTAATAGTGAAAGGTCTTTTTAACAAGAGAAAACTGCAGCGCATCGTAACAGGTCGTAATGTTTAACTGAGGCACTTCCTGTGTTAGGTCATTGATAAGCAGAGGTATCACCCCAGCTATGGCTACAAGCCAGATGGCTGCACTCACCACAGAGGCACGCCTTACAGTACGCCATGACAGAGACTGCATCGGGTATACCACTGCCAGGAAGCGGTCGATGCTTATCACCGTCATCAGCAGTATGGAGCAATACATATTGCAGTAGAAAGTAGCAACGGCACAACCACACACTTCACGTCCAAATGCCCAGTGGTTTCCTGAGTAATGGTAGATTATCTTCAAAGGAAGCACACTCACACAGAGAACATCAGCAGATGCCAGGCTGAACATGTACACTACAGCTGGCTTGTTGAGCTTTGTTTTGACCACAAATATAAGGATTGCCATAATGTTTAAAGGAAGACCCAAAGTAAACACAAGAATCTCAATGGTAGGAACAAAATTAGTCAGCCATGGATCAGTCAAGTATTTTTCAATGTCCTTTGATGTAGCAATAGGCAAAAGACCCTTGGGCTTATGTTCACCTGATGAATCTGAAAGAAGCAAAATACAAACACCACTGTAAACGATGCTATAATTCTGAATAGAACTCTTTTCAGCAGAGCACAGTGGGGAGAGATGTAGATTTGCATATGTATTGGATGGGCTCTACTTGAATGTCAAGAAGGTTAATGCAGTGAACTTGCCCAGTGTCCAAAAGCCAAAATAGCTTTTGGAGCAATGTTCATGACCTTCCGCTTGTCAGGGAAGGCCCCAGAGATAATTCCTTTGAAGCTGCTGTCCCATGTATGTTCTTTAGATACCTATGTTTTCTGCAAGGATGTTTCTGCCCTCACCCATGTCTCCCAAGAAGCTGGGGAGGTTAGAGCCTGTGCACAACCTGGCAGCTTCTGAATGCAGGGAAGAGAAGAACTCCATAAAATGTATGGCAGGAGGTGCTGTCCTTTATTCTTGGCTTCAAGGGGATTGATGCATCACTGCCCGGGGAAATCTGGAGGTCCATGGAGCATTCCCTGGCCGATCCCTGCCTCAGAACAAAGGGTGCTTCTGGTTCTTTGCTAAACTTGGCTTGTTGAAAGCCTTGACATTTCTACTATGAAAGCATCAAATAAATAGGGCTTTTAAAGTGTTGCTTGAGAAGTAATTTCATTTCAAGCATGACTTCCATTTCTCTCTCTCTCTCTCTCTCTCTCTCTCTCTCTTTCTCTCCCCATGTATATGGAGAGAGTTACTTTAGGGAGTTCAGTATGGCATTTCTTCCCTCCCATTTTATGTCCATACCAATGCCATTAAGCAAATTCAGCTGATGGGTAGTTAAAGCATCCAAGGGAACATAGAACGTAATTCTATCTTGAGATCAAATGGGTGAAATCTCATATCCAAAGGTCTGTTGGGCTCATGCCAATTGGGCGGAAGTGAGGATGGAACAGAGGAATTTTCCAGTCACGCTTTCCTTCCCCAGCCTTGTTTTTGTCTTAGAGATGTTCTCCCATTGACCCTAATGTAAGGAAGTTAATGGCATAGATCTGCCACTTCTTTGGGGTGCCTGTGGTAACTGGGAGGCCAAATCTTACACAGTCTCTTCAAGCATGAATGCAGTACACCTCTATCTAGACTTTGGAGTTCTAATATCAGATATGAAGCAGTCATGGAGGTTTCCATGGTGTGGGTTTCCAAAGCCAAATTTCCTTGCAGAGGGCAGACCATGGAGTGGGAGATCCAAAAACATTAGGGCCTCTTGCTATGGCATAAACAACTCTTCTCCGCTATAGTATTATATTCTAAGTGTCTGCTCGACGGAACGGAGGGTGGTCCAGATTGTGAAGGAATGTGACAGCAGGTGTCGCTAACATTATGAATTTGCAATGACTTGACCAGGAATTGCGGAAAGCCTCAGAGATTTTGTCTTTCTAGTGGGATGTAATATTTTGTCTGTGTGTGTGTGGGGGGGGTGGGGGGGGAGGGACAGGAAACGTTTGAAGTGGTGCATAATTTTTATATGCAATTATCATGTTTTTCAACATAGTCCAAGTGCATCTTAAAGAGCAAGAAATCATGTGTTGTATGAGCCACGTACTCTCCTTGCAAAAGAAGGTACAAAAAGAAGAAGTTGATTTAGGGGTACTCTAAACAATTATTGAACTAGAATAGCACCCTCTCAGATCAGAATCCACATATATAACATGCATAGATCGGAAAGCATTCCTTAAACACAGAAAAGCTATTTTCTTCCCCCTTCCCCTTTGCTCACAATAGTTTGGACAAGGTAGCTTTCCACCAAAAGAGAAGAGAGTGCAATGAATAAGAACTATAGTATTGTTTCTTGTTCCACCACTTTCTGTCAAGACAGCTCATGTGGAATCATTGACAAACAGAAATGTCATTTACTCACTGTGTGCTCTTGCTGTGCTAAACAAGTTGCAGAAGATGCTGAGCAAAGAAAGTGGTATCTTCAGTGGCAGCTCCATTTTTCCTCCAAAGTGGCATCTGGACTTTCAAGTTTCCAAGTGTAAACTGGATTTACACAAAAAGAAAGCAGCTCTCCCCACTAAAAGTGTCTCATTCTGCTTTTCATCTTTTCATCAGTTTCAGCTTGAAATGTTAGCTTGAAACAAGAGACTCAGATTTAACTACACCACTGCAACTGTCTAAAGCACAAGACTAATGGAGATGCAGCAGTGGGTTGGTTTTTTTAATTTCTCCTTTCTGACTACCCTTTCATAATGGTAATTAATAGATTCCTAGCAATTAGGAGAAATGTCTTGGTGGTTTTGCGATCTTTGTCCTCAATTAAAGTATTCTAACAAAATATTCTTGGGGAAATGGCTTTGATGGCTGTAATGGATACAGATGCATTTGACATGGTTTTGAACATATCCATTTCCAGAAAAAAAAAAAGAACAATAAACCTAATTATTGAACTTGCTTGCCTTGTCCTGAGTACTTTCAGTGCACAAAGTGCTTTGTTATTAATCTAATTTCTCATCTTAATAACTTAAGTGACTTGTCCAAAACTTATTGTTGTAAGCCGCCCCGAGGCTTCGGCGAATGGGGCGGCAGAAAAATGTTTTAATAAATAAACAAATAAATAAATAAATAAATAAATAAATAAAACCATCCAGAGGACTTCATGAGTGAGCAGGCATTGGAGTTATACTTCACCTTCTAAATGAAATGACCTACCCATGAAACCTTATTAAGGTTCCATTTTACACTCTTTCAAATACCCTTGACATTGTCAGAGCAAACAAGAAATAATGCCAGATATAGTGTTTAAATGTATTAAGGCAGGGGTGGGTAGAAAATAGCTCTCCAGATGTTTGGGACTTCAACTGGCAGAAACCCCTGCCAACATGGCATTAACTCCAGCACAGCAGCAGCAAGTGTTCTTGACTGGAACATCAGGCCAGGGGTGTTAGAGGTGGAAAGATAAGCAACAAATGCTCAGACAAGCGCCACTTAGCATGACATAACAGGAACAGAAGCAAAAGCAGTGTCAGGACTAGGTAAGAGGTAAGACTAGCACGACAAGACCAGGAACAAAGGCAAGAACAGATGAGAGTTAAAACATGACTGAAGACATAAGGGAGCTGAAAGCAGCTGTCACAAAGATTCACACTGAGCCCAAACTGAGTACTCTTGGGTAGCCTTTTATAGATCCTCCTGTGACTTCCAGCTGCTCTGGTTCTGCAGGTCCAAGGCAAAATACTGCAAATACTTGCAAAGTAAACTAGGATGTCTTCTCCATCAGGCCACCAGAGGGAGTCTCAAATGCCCAGAGATCTACTTTCTATCACCCTTAGGTTAGGCAATGTTCCCAGGCAAACTTGCAGAATCAGCCTTTCTGTTGTTCTTTACTAGATCTACATGAGTCACTGGCTGGGGCTAAATGTTGTCATATGCTTCGAACTAAAGAGGGGCAAACCATATGGCTAAGCCCATGAATTTGGTTTTGTTACAAGGACCTATCTCTCAGTTTTTTCACACAAAAATCTGCTCCTGGTTTCTCTTCAGGTTTCTTGTTTCAGGTACAAAATAGACTTTTGTGTTGCTGCTGTTAAGGAGTTTGAAGTGAGACATCCTTGCCAATCCTCTAGAAGTCATTCAGAGTCATAACAGTGGGCAATATCCTATCTGACATTGGCCCTAATATGAATTATGTTGCACTACCCCAAGAGACCTCTAACACTCTGTCTGAAGGATTGCCTAAGCTAAGCAGCTTTTCTAGAGAATATGCAGTGTCAAATAGCACATTTCCCCATTAATCCTGTTTTGCCTTTTTTTGCTGAAGATGGACACTTCTCAGTTTATCTCAATCCATACGGATTTTAAAAAGAATAAAAAATATTTAAAGCAATAAATTAAAAATATTCATTGTCCGTAGAAATGCTAGGTCTCATCTCCTTGGTTTATTTCTCTCAGAGGAGGAAAAGATTGGGGTGGGCAACTTGTGGGGTGGGCAATGTTTTGACCTACAACTCCCACAATTCCCCACCATTGGTGTATGCTGGCTAGGGCTGGTGGGATTTGTGGGTCAAAAACTTGGGAGGGCCACAAGTTGTCCACCACTGAAGTAGATAAATGGGTCACATGGTCATGCCACATACCACTCCTGCTTCTGCTATCTTAATGGCAAACTCCTCTACACCAAGCTCTTCACGTGCTTGGCTCAGCCTGGCTGGCCAGCTCTGGTGAATCAATGGCAACCTCTGGTGGGCAACAGGCATCACTACCACCAGATCTGGTGCTCTGGAAAAAATACAGTGGTCTACACACCCAGTGATGTTCTCATGCAGTCAATCACTGTTCACTTCATCAGAGCACACACACCATCATGGTCACAAGTTGTCTACATCTGTATGTGCAGATACTAAGTCAGACGTTGCACTAGCTATAAGGACGTTGTTGTGGTTCCAGGTTCCCATCAATAAACACAAATATCTACACAGTCCAATTTGAAAAGCCACGTATGGGAAACAGTGCAGATTTGAACTGCAAGTAGTGCTGCTAGTTGAAGGCATGCTTGCTTCTTCGTTGGACTGGCAGCACTTTGTGCTTGAAGAAAATGGCCATCTCTCTTCATGTGTTCAAATGTGTAAACTTCCAATGTGCAACAAGGGCAATATACAAGCTGGTCTATGAATGTTAGAGGAATGTGACCAGCTGTGCCTAAATATTTCAGGTGCTTGCAATGGATGTTTGTAGATACATAGATAAATTGATGAAGATGGAACTCAGAATGCTGCAGGCAGGGTGATCTTGAGACACAGAAAGTGGCTGACATTTCGCGGTCTTAAGATTTGCACATGCATGTGCATAGACACATCTGCAGCCGCTGCTCCATTTTCATTGTGTTCTGCATTTTTACTACCTCTTTAAGACAGATAAAAATTATTTGGAAAGTTTGCAAGTTGCATATATATAGACAGAGACAATGAGAGAGAGATTAAACAGACAATACCCAAATAAAAATGGTAACACACGAAGACATCACCAAGCAGGAGCAGAGAGCTGTTTAGGCCCTTCTCTCTGATTCACCCCTGGAAACCAGAGGATGTTAGCGGGACAACAGAAGACTTCCAACCTGACATCATGGCGGATTTTTTCCCCCAGAGTGAGGCACACAGCTATTGCAGCTGCTTCTCTTAGCATCGAGAACCTGCGTTTTCCTCGTGGAGGCAGAGGCAGGATCGATCAACTCATGCTTCTGTCTACACAGAGAAAAAGACAGTCCCTCTCCGTGGCAGAGAAGGGCAGCTTTCTCTAGCATGGGGAGAAGAGATCCCTATTTAGACCTCAGTTTGGATGTCTTTAAAAAGGGGTTGAGCTGACTCATGGAGGAGAGGATAAGGCTGCCAATTGCTACTAGTTCTGATATGCTATATAGACAGTGTACACATAGGCACCAGTTGCTGGGGAACTTGTGCAGGGGAGTGCTGCTGCACTCATGTCTGTTTGTGGAATCCTGTGGTAGTGGCCTAAATTCAACAGAATGCTGAAAAAAAGACTGCACCTACAGTTTGCACAAATGTGATTTTGTTTATGAATTTTGGTCATTTTTTTCAGAGGTGCCCAGGCGTTGCTGTTGGTGCATGTGTATTTTGAATTGACCCCTACAGTGGTAGGGTTGGTAAGGTGTCGATAGACCCCATTGCCACTTATGTGCTCCAGCTGGTTGCAGCAGCCCAAAGCCCATTTGTCTGGCCACTGCTCTTGCTCCCACAAAAATTACTAAGCTTAGCTAGGAGACTCTTCCTGAATGCAGGCACTGCGCAGGCACAGAGCCCATACGTGTGATGCACAGAGACTACAAAGAACTGGCTGTTCTCAGTGTTCTCCACCTTTTCCACACCTTCCCAAGTTTCTAGGTACTTGAAAAAGCAGAAAAGTATGAACAACCCCACAGGTGCTTTTTACAGGTATGAGAATGGTTTTTCTGTAGCTGTTTTTCAATATGTTAAACTAGTTTCACCTATATTTCACTGCTATTGGCATAATAAACTGGGGATACACTGATGCAATTCAATTACCACAGAAAAATAATCCTCTCATATTGAAGAGTAATATAATTCTATTGGCTCACATTAGCACTCTGATAGTGTTAAGTCTAATGAACACTAACATTCTCTCTTGTACACACGCAAGTTCTGAAACCTTTTGTACTATGATACTGCAAATATGACATGAGTTAGATTTCAGCTAGGTGAACTCTTTATTTGTTATAAACACATACAAACCTGTTCTGGGATCAGTTCTAAAATGTACAATTGAACAAAAGCCTTGGAAGATTATAAGGGAGTGTGACCGAGCAGAACAAAGGTTACAAATAAGCAAGCTATTACATAGTTCAAGTGTGACCATGTCATCAAGACTGGAGCTTTATATAAAAGCCCTAAATATTCTCCAGGATTTGTGAGCATAGATATGGGGGCTGCAGTGAACAATTTCACCAAATTTTTCCAAGGCAAGAAGCCAAAGCTTTCTCATTGACAGGGGTTATAGCACAGCTTCTTTAGTTTTTCCAAAGGGTTTTAATGATGCTGCTCCAAAGGATGCCTGGTCTCCATTTTAAATTCTCCACTATCCCTATTTGTTCAGGGGAATTTTGTGTCTCTGTGGGGGTGAAAAGAGGACTGATGATGGTTACCACTCAAAAATGGTAAAGAAAATCTACAAAGTAGGCAGTTATTTCTAAGGAATGGAGAAATAAGAAAAATCTTGCACTTTCTCTGAAAGAAAAATTGTATTCTGAAAACTTGTATATCTCGCTTCTAGTAATGACTCTTCCAGTTCAGCTGAAAAAGGGTCACCACAAGGGTGGTCCCAATGTTAATTTCCTGAAAGGCAAGTGTAGATGCCTGTAATCCATGTTCTTCTTAGAATACTGCTGTTTCCCTGAAAGTCCTATAGCAGGTATGATTTGAGGCAGGCAGTGTTTTGTACAGCCCCACAGAAGTGGTGACAACGTATAACCCATGTAGAGCTAATGCTATGCCAAAATCTGTCCTCCAGTTTCTTGAAGAGGCTTGCCTCATTCTCAGATCATTTTAGAATTTATTTTGAATTGTTTTGGTGGTGTTTTTAATTGGTTAGTAGAGAGTGCTGGTGTGTGTGTGTGTGTTCTCTTTCATTTTCCATGGGTCTGCCACCTCCTAAGCTGCTTATACTTCCTGATCTGAAGAAATCCTATGGGGGGAATTAAGGCATTTCTTTACCAGCACTTTGAAGTGCAGGATGATACAGTCCACCAGGGATGGCTGCACAGTGGAAGATGAGGCACACGCATTACAGAGCCACCCCCCCACCCATAAAATATTTATTCATTTAATAATGAGCCCAATAACCTTAGGCTCTAACTAAGGTTAGAATAAGAACCTCAAGTTTAATTCTTGAAACTGTCACCAAAATTTGAATTCCTTTTCAAAGTGATGGGCATATAGTAAAATATGTGCAAGAAATGTTTAGCTGACCTTATTCTGAGTTAGTCTCACTCTTGCAGATACAATAAGAGAACAATACAAAGCATGGAAGGTGTATAAAATGACATATTTGCCATACAAGCTATGTGATTTTAAAAAGCACTCATTTACTAACTCTGACGTTCTGTCATATTGCTTTAAATTACAAACCTTTTCTCTTTCTGTAATCAGGATTATTTGCAGAAAGGGGTATTTACAATATTGCGATGGCAGCCTGCATTACTTATTTTAAAATATTTTAAAATAATTTTGGGTGCCTGCCTAAGCATGTTTAGCCAGCAAAAAGTTCTGCAAAAAGCTCTGGGACATATGGAGAACTGTAGGCCCTAAATATGCATAAGGCTGCATTCCTTGTTAATCTAGCATACAGACAGTGGATGATGAGTTTGCAGCTAACTGCCAGAAATGGCAGCTCTTTTAATTTTTAACTGAACAGATATCAGATTGGAGATATATATGGCAAGCTTGCATTATGGATTGACACATCAACAAAGCAGGGAGAGGTCATATATTTATTATTAGTTCAGTTTAATTCAGTTTTCAAAAAATAAGAGAATAAGATAAAAAGCTTCAGCATTATAGTTGAACAAAACAAAATGTGAAAGAAATGTATTTGGTTAACTCAGAAGTATATATTATTACAGGACTGCAAAAATATACATTTTCAGTGTTTATGCATTTGTAAAAATGAACACATGCAGCTTGATAAAGTATACCTACATCTTCTTACATAGAGTACATTTTGATGTATGGTTCAACCAACAAGAAAGGCAATGGGAGTCAGTTTAAGATGCTTCTGTAAAGATTCCTTTCCTTACCAAAACCAACTAAACACACTTTGGGCACAAGGGATGAGTGTAACTATGTAACATGGAGGATTATGGGCCTTCTGCACTTATGAAAAGAACATTGAGGCAATGGCCAAGTCTGTGCTCCTCTTGCTCTGAAAAGCACTTGAATAACTGATTTTGGCTAAATGCACCACTGGAGTGGGAAAGCTGAAATACTGTCAAAATGTGCCATATGCTCCAGTCCCCTCGTAACAATCCCAAAAGCCCTTCTCTGAGGTCAGTCTTGTGACCCTGAAGAAACAGCTGGCATGGAGGCAAGGGGGATCTGAATGAGGATTCTCAGTTCTGAGGTTGGAGTGATTTTCCAACTCTGTAGATCAGAATCTGAAGAATCCTATGGTGGTCTAGATACTATTATATACCACAGGTTTGCGGTATGTAACTTTTAATGGTAAACAATGGAAAAACAATGAATTTCAAAGAGTAATGCAATACATCCCAATAAATTATTAGCATATTGTGAGCATCTCTAACATTATAAGCAGATATTTCTTTTTCACTTTCAGGCTGCTGGACTGAGATAAGCCCAGCTGAAGGCAATAGCTCCTAAATCTAAATAGACGTGTATAGGACTGTTATTTTTCATCTCTCATTTAGTGAAGCATACATTATATTATCCACACAAAGTGAAAAATATACATGTATAATTCTGAATTCATGGTAATTTTTATATAGCTATAATTTCTTTTCTGGACACTTTTGTACTCAGAGAAAGCATAAACCTCACCCTAGGGACTAAGTCTTAGTTGATTCTGATGGGGAAGTAGTCCACCACAAAACCAGTTCACAGCACCCTAGCACTCTGTAAGATGACCAAAAATAGATCCAGGATAACACTATGCCGGAGGTTCAAAAAGTATAGCAAGCAGCTCACCAGGCAGTTTCTAGTCATCTGTTTCGAGTCATCTGCCAACCTCTTTCACCATGAAAAAATTGTGGTGTCGCTGAGGATTGGGACAAACCCTTGTAAAATCTGTCCCTCTGGCGGCTGGATACTTCCTCTCATGCTTGGTCTGGTCCTGCAACATGAGCTGAGTCAAGAGGAAGCCCATGAATGCTTATGGACTACCAGTTGCACAACTGCTAATCTTCCTCATCAGGTGCAGCTGCCCAAAGGGTGACTGTAGGACACAGAAGAGAGATGCTGTGAGCAATTGTGCCAGGCACCATTCTTGGTGCCAAACCTTCTTTCATACCCAGTGCAGCTGGCAGGTGAAGCACCAGGCACGGAAAAGGGGTAATGCTTGTGCAGAACTTGGGGCTCAATTCCTAGCAAGCACCCCGTGAATGCCCAGGGAAACCTCTGAATATGGATTCATACACCTGGAAAGATTCCTAACACAGTCCTAGAAATAGTATCTTGGCACTGCTGAAAGAGCAGACAAAAGAAGATGTTCCCTTGCTACCATTAGTGCTAGCAAGAGAAACTCGTCTCTTATATTTCAGTTGTGTGTTTCTACCTGTGAGAAAAAGTGTTAGATGTGATTCTGAGTATGCCAAAAAGGAGCCAAAATGGTTGTGTTCCCCCGTGTTATGCCAATAAGGTGGCAAGTCTATGCAAACAGTAGTAGGTTTCCTTCAAAATAACTGGGATCAAAATGATGAAAATAAAAATAAATGCTGTGGTTACCTGGCTCTTTCCAACAAGGTTGACACAGAGGGATGCTAAGCATATAGAGTATGAATGTAGAAGTGCATACCCATCCGCACACACTATATCCACCTCATTAGGGTCCTCGCTTTCCTCTTCCCACATGCTACCTCTCTCGTAATGCTGTTTTATGGTAAGAAACATGTGAAAAATATCTGCATGCCAATATTTCTCAACACACTATCTTGGAAACAGAGTACTATAAAGTGTTAGTGCTCAAAATGTGCATTCGTCCATGAAAGATTATGTTAACAACTTTCTGTAAATGCTGTTACTCACTGTACTGGTGCAAGTTCCCCTTCGGCTGATTCTAGTCATTAGATGGTCACTGGTGCTACTAATGGATTCAGAGCTTTGTTTGCAGCACAAGAGGTTGATAACTTGTTGCTGACATTCAGAAGAGGCATAATAATAAATCAAAGGATCAATGCAGCAACTTATACTGCTAATACAGACACAAAGAAGATAAGCAAAATAGATATTCCCAACATAGTCTTTGTAAGAAAAATGGATGTAATGGACTAACAGGAGAACATTTGTTGGACCAAAACACATAATAAAAATTGTGAAAACAGCTATGGACAAGAGTAAAGCCCGTATCTTTTTACTTTGCTTTGCAGCAATGTCTGAAGAGCTAAGACACCAGATGATACACACATAGCACACAAAGCAAACAATTAATGGCACAAAAAAGAAAAGCGAAGAGAAAACAATAAAAAATATAAGGTAATATTCTTCAAGATAATTTCTCTTCAGCACATCATAACAGGTCGTAATGTTTAACTGAGGTACTTCCTGTGTTAGGTCATTGATAAGCAGAGGTATCACCCCAGCTATGGCTACAAGCCAGATGGCTACACACACCACAGAGGCACGCCTTACAGTACGCCATGACAGAGACTGCATCGGGTATACCACTGCCAGGAAGCGGTCGATGCTTATCACTGTCATCAGCAGTATGGAGCAATACATATTGCAGTAGAAAGCAGCAATGACAAAACCACACATTTCACGTCCAAATGCCCAGTTGTTTCCAGAGTAATGGTAGATAATCTTAAAAGGAAGCACACTCACAAAGAGTACATCAGCAGAAGCCAGGTGGAGCATGTAGACTACCGCTGGTTTTTTCACCTTCAATTTTATCAGGAACACAAGAATTGCCATGATGTTCAGAGGAAGACTCAATATGACGACCACGGTGTAGACTGAAGGAACAAAAAGGGTCAGCCATCTACCAGTCAAGTATTGCTTCGTGTCATTAGACATATTATATACAATCGTGGTTGAATTTCTACTTCGGTTGATAAACCCTGATCCAGGTTCCAAATCATTTTCATTGTCAATGTCTTCATATGGAACTAGTTCAAAATCTCTGTCTACTGAAATCGGAAAGGATCTTGGTGGTGACATCTCCTCATGCTTGGGAACGGATCCTAATAAATTAAGATTATGGTTAGTAGGTGTGGCATCCAGTTGGTATACACACAATGGAAAATACTTTTGCAAACTATAATATGTGTAGTTCAGAGCAGAACTCTAAAAGACAGGTTCACTTCAATATTACTAATATTAAATGTTCTTGTTTTTCAGATCTCCTCAATGGTTATCATGGTACTTCCCCTTTCATTAAAATTCATGAGTGAAGCTTTTAAGCTGTTTCCATGCTGATATGTAACAGTAACAGATATACTTTTTCTTGACTTTGTTTGATTTTATTTATTTATTTATTTATAGTTTTTGTATGCCGTCCCCTTGCTATATAGCCTCGGGACGGCTCACACAAATAAATAAATATAATACAAATACAGTTAAAACCCAGAAACACCCTGGCTGCACAATTAAAACCTATAAATATTATATGTTGTTAAAATATTGTTTGAATAAAAAGGTCTTATCCTGGTGCCGAAAAACAAATAATGAGGGCGCCAGGTGGACCTCTCTGGGGAGCGCATTCCACAGATGGGGCGCCACCGCAGAGAAAGCCCTCCTCCGAGTACTTTGCTTCCTGATGTCTCTCCCGGAGGAGGGCCTCTGCAGCTGATCTCTAGGGGCGGGAGGGCAAATATGGAAGCAGGCGTTCCTTTAGGTATAATATTATCAAATACTATAACAACATAAAAATAGCAATTCTTATCCATCAGGTTTGTAATTTTAACAATTGGCACAGATTCTATTATGCATTCAATATTAATCAGATACTGCTCCAGACTTTTTAAGATTATTTCATTGCAGCAATCAGAACCCCCAATATCTCTTTCCCTGATAATTAAAAAAGGTTTTAGAGAACCATAGACTTTTTGTAACTTCAGTAACCTAAATCACCTTCAAATCTCCTTAAGATACATAAAGGCACTCCACTACTCATGATATGTTTGTTCATTTTAGACTGTCACAAAAGATGCACAATTTTGGAAGTGCCCAATTCGACTGGTATTACTATACTGACCAACAACCAAAGCTCTCTGGGCAGTTCACAACAGTGTATTTAAAAACAATATGAAATAAAGCGATTAAAACATATTCAAACAGAATAAAAATTGGCAATACAAAATTAAAAACCAATTTAAAAAGCAGAGAAAAACAAAAATGACCCAGTTAAACCCTGCCTAACAAGCAGCAGACCCCAGTAACTAATTAAATGCCATTAAAAGTAGAGGATGGCCTTTAGCTGATGCCAAACAGACAGTAAAGTTGATGCCAGGCAGACCTCAGTGGGGAGATCATTTCATAACTGAGGAGGCCACCATTGAAAAGGCTCTTCTCCTTGTTGCCACCATCCAAGTCTCCCTTGGAGGTGGCAATCAGAGAAAGGCCCCAGAACGTGATCATAATGTCCAGTTTCTGTCAGGTATCGTGGCCCTAAGCCATGTAGGGCTTTATAAGTCAAAACCTGTACCTTGAATTGGGCTCTGCAGCATAGAGGCAGTCAGGGAAAGCAGGTCAGAATTGGTGTTATATGATCAGACTGTCTGATACCTGTTATTAACACATCTGCTGCTTTTCGCACAAGCTGCAGCTTCCTAACGGTCTTCAAAGGTAGCCCCAAGTTCACTGCATTGCCATAGTCTAGTTTCAAGATTACTAGAGCACACAAGTACATCACTGATAGCAGGCTATCTCTGTCCAGATAGCGATCTGGCTGAGCTACCAACTGAAGCTGGTAGGAGGGCACTTTGAGCCACTGAAGCCACCTGGGCTCAAGTGACTAAGATGGCTCACGGAGCACCCCAACGCCATAAACCTGCTCATTGTAGCTGTTCACATGTAACAGCAGCACACTGAAGCGAATCTTGGGGTGATTAAACTATGACTTAGGCGAACACACACTGTGTGTGAGCTGCTTCTGGTTTTTGTTCCTCTGATGTTCCATTCTGGTTAACCTGTGGTTTGTTCTTGGATTGTTAATTCAAGTGGTAATTGTGCCAGGCAGGACTCTCTAGAAACCTGACTTTGTATCACCAATTTGGATTTTCCGCAATATATTCTTTATGCCCCTGCACTCCAAGAACTTATTCTTCGCAAGTAGGATCTGAAAGACTCAAAAAAACAAAAAACACCCTTATGGAAGCCAGAGGAGAATTCTGATAGACTACCAAAGGTTGCTCAATCTACACCTATGGGACACATGGCTCTTATCAATGCAACTGAAGGATATGATATACCTTGGGCTGGAGGTAGGCTGCAAAATGTTGCTCATGGATGCGCCAATATAACCATAGCCAGCCAAACTATGCTTCTTCTAAGTTACTTCTTAGTTTGTGTTTAATTAAAGAGAACCATTTTGGCTAATGGGCAAGATAGAATGCTGATAACTAAATGAAATCTGGCTTGCTGAAAAGTAAAGTGCAGTCCCCCAGTGCCATCTTTATTTGGTTTCAAAACTGTTTTGGAGGTCAGACCTCAACTATACTTTTGAGTTCCGGTTTTTAGGCACATCACAATTCTCACAATTCTGTCTTGTGGGAAATTAGCATTCTGTTACTGGCCATGCCATTCATTGCAGCCATTTTATAAGTAGGGAAGGTAACTCCATAGCAGCCAGGTTTTATGAGTTTCTAGGACACTGTCTCAAAATTCCAAATGTGCCCATCAAATCAAAAAAGTTGGGAATCCCTGAACTACTGGAACTCTCCCCTTTTCCATCTTGTACGAAACAGGTTGCTTGGGGAAAAAGAAGTCAAAAGCTGTAAATTTTATTTGTGCAAGAATAATAGGAAAGGAAGAAAAAGAAAATCGCCCAACAATCCAGGCAGAATGAAAAAATGATGAAAATGTGAAGGTTCCACAAAAGAAAAACAGTGGTACCTTGGCTCATGAACTTCTCAGTTCATGACCAAATTGGGTAGCGAACAAAAATTTCATAAAAATTTTGACTCAGGTCACAAACTCTGCATTTGGTGGCGATCGTGATCGCAGCCATCTCCCCCCACCCCCCCAAGTGGGGAGATGACTGCGATCATGCTGGGGGCGGAGAGGAGATGGCCGAGATCGTGCCCATCTTTCCTGCATGAGCGTGCCCATGATTGTGTCCGTCTTTCCTGCATGACCGCAACCGCAATCTTGGCTATCTCCCCCCCCACAGCATGATCGTGCCCATCTCCCCCCTGAGTGCACCCATGTTCGCGCCCGTCTCTCCCGCCAGTGTCCGTAATTGCGCCCATCTCCCCCCACCAGCGCACTGGGATGACGGACGTGTGCTGGGATGGGCACAATTGTGGTTATGCTGGGTGAGGGTCAGCGAGATGGCCACGCTCGAGCTCAGAGTGTGTGGGGGGGAGAAGATGGCTGTGATCTTTGTTGTTCTTTGTCACTTTGCCTCACATTTTTCTGATTTAAAAAAATAGTTACAGAACGGATTAACCTTATTTACACTGAACCTTATCGGGAAATTAAACTTCGCTCACAACCAATTTGGGTCACGACCAGAGTCCTGGAATGGATTAAGTTCATGAGCCAAGGTACCACTGTATCTTTTTTATGGGTAAGTTTATATATTGTGAAAAAACTAGAAATGTGCATGGATCATGAAAATTAAGTATTTATAAGTTTTTTCCCCTATGGAATTTGCAAGTTAGCCTATTTATTAAGCCAGTGAATGAACAGACATGAAAGGAAAGCTCAAGCCATTGATAAGAAGAGCATTCATACTGCAAAGTATGGAATTTTAAAACATCACATGATTTCTCACCGGTCTCAATGTATTATTGCATTTCTAAACAGGTTCAGTATGATGTAAACTGTTCTTTTCTCATTCAGTAGTGATCATACACAAACATAGGAGATCCAGAAACATGATCTCAGCCAATTTTTTCCTGCATACAAGCAATATCAGCCTTCACATCCTAGAACAAATATATCAGCATTCCAACACACACTGAAATGATGAGGTTTTGTGTGTAATCGTATGCATGTTAATTCTATTAAGGCGAGAGAACACTAGCAGTTATAGGCCTTTTTTCTATGTAAATAAACATAGTAGTACACCTTTACCTAAGTCTGGTTATGGCACAGGTGTTTAATTGTGTGGAATTAACAAGACATGATACTAAGCTGACCTGGTACAAACCAAGACTTACAAAATAATTTATTGTCTCTATTGAAAATGAAACCTAAACATTGATATTCTTTCTTTTAAAAAGTAGACTTTAAACAAAACACCATCTTAACCTAAAAAATAAAAAATGCACCATTTCATTTTATTCCCAGATTGAAACAAGTTCCCCAGAAAAGGCTAGGTGACTCAGCTGAATGTTAACTAGACTTTTCTTCTGAGTTTCTTCTAAGTTCTAATGTATTTTTACATTTAACTTGCATTTCTTTTTCATTACTCCTGATTTTGCACTTACTCCAGATGTATACAATGTAGATCAACTCTCAATCATACTATTTGACATTACAAAAAGTATTCTCATGAGTAAAGTGCCAATGGCTGTACAAAATACATAGATATTGTTGTGTTAATAGTCATACCCACAACCACACCTGTTATTAACAACTTGCATTTGGTGTTGCAGTATCATTTCAGGAATGGCAGTTTCCATAAAACTAGTCAAGTAACTGGAAATTAAGAAATAATGCATCTGTGGTTATTACACCCCCCTAAAAAAGTCCAGCCACTGAAAGCCATCTTTAACCCCACAGATTAAGTATTCATTTTCATTATTTGCAGAGCAGCTGCCAACCAGTCTTTCTCTCTCTCCCACACACACACACCATCATCATCATCACCACCGCCACCATCATCATTATATTCATATACTACCCCATAGCCCACAGGGCTCTCTGGATGGCTTACACACATACACACAGGGTCTAATTTTATGTATGTTTAAGCAGAAAAAAGGTCTATAACTCCCAACATGTGACAGCATGTACATTTCATCTAAACATGCATAGAATTGCACATACAGTTCTGGTAACGAAGCACCTTCTCCAATAAGTCTAGCTCAGTCTTCCCTAACCTAGTACCCTTTGGATGTTTTGTACCTTAGTTTTCTTCAGCTCTTGACTGGAGAATGCTGCTTGGATGCTCATGCTCTGAAAATGTATTTGTAACATATCCTACTCCATATTGCTTTTAGGCTTGCTGTTTAATTTTATTTATTTATCAGGATAGCTAGCCTTTTTTCTAATACATCATCCCTGCTAACATCATTCTTCCTGCTCTCCTTATTCCCACAGCAAAAACCCTGAGACAGATTGAGCTGACCGTCTGTGATTGGCTCAAAGTCACACAGTTGGTTCCATGGTTGAGTGAGGACTAGAAGTCAGATTGCCTGAGTCCCAAACAGACACTCTTAACCACTACACCACACTGGCTCTCAGTGTATCAGTGAAGCATTTAATTCAGGTATGCACTGCAAGGACTAACGGAAAAGGATAGTCTTAAGGCTGAGTGGTCACTTTTTAGTCATAATTAAGATTCTAGGTTCCCCTTGCTCATTTGGACAAGAATCAGTGATCCAAAATACAGTAACCAAAAATCTGGGCAGGTTCTTTTGTTAAAAAAAGGTAAGTGCAGATAAACACACCTGGCCTTTTAACAAATGCTTATTACAAGAATGGTAACTTATTATAGAGGAAGTGGTAAACAAAGTAATTTAATAGCAAAATACAAGTTTAGCTGCCTTCCCATGTTATCTGCTAAGACCGGAACAACAAACAGAACCTAAGACTAGCCTACAGATGTGAGAGCCTTTTATACCAGGCTGTTTCTTGCCTGCATGTTCCTTAGGCTTTGGAGAGGCTCATGACTAGCATGTCTTCTGTAAGCAAGCAGTGACTGTGCCTGCAAAAGCATAGAACATTGGCTTGGTAAAGGGAGAGTCATGGACAGCAAGGGGAAACGTTGACTGAGAAGAGTCCTATGTAGTCCTAAAGTGGGATATGGGTGCATCAGCGAAAGCTAAAAACAATAAAATGGATACCTTAATCCCGTGCTTTTTATTTTTTGTTTTTACAAAATCATGGTGTGTTACTTGTCTTCAGTGTGGCAATAAAGGCTGCCTAACAGAATTTGCAGGACTCTGTATATGCTATTGCACTTCCAGTAGACATAATTATTTTATTGTGTTCTTATGTGATTGTATGCCAGCCTGAAATATAACCAGTACAGGGCAAAACCCACACACCAGGTGAGGTGTGGTGTGAAATTTTCCACTGCTGTATTTTTCTGATTTAAAAAAATAAAATAAAAATGTGTTTCATAAAATTAATTAGTAACAACAAATGGCTGAAACAGTTCAGTCAAACAGTCAGAATAATATAAAAACAGAAATGTAGCATATTATCCAATGGGGTTGCTTTGCCTCAGATGGTTCTATTGAGCTTGTGGGAACAACTGCTAGTGCAATGGGGCTTTGTTCCTTCTAAAATTGACCTCAGAAATGAGTGGAAACACTTCTAGATTTGGGCAGAACATTGGTGTTTTGGTCTAGGAGCTCCACTGTCCTACCTCATTCTTTAAACAAGCATTTAAGCTCAGTTTATTTTTCAAAGAGTCAAAACCTCAATTACATATTATGCACACAGCTCCACAGAAATGCTTAAAGTGACATGTTAAGAAGTTCTCAGTAGCTTTTCCTTCTTAAAATGTAAACAAATTAAAATATATGCAATTGTATTGTCATATATACAATATAGGACAGGAAGGCCTGGAGGAATGTTGTCCATGGGGTTGCGATGGGTCAGATGCGACTTCGCAACTAACAACAACAATATACAATATAATTACAAATATACCAATAAAATCTTTGCTAAGTAAAGCTTTGAATTTATTTGAATATAACATTTAAACCACATCAACAGTGCAATTCTGTGCATGTCTACTCAAAACTAAATTGTACCAAGTTCAATTATTTCCAGAAAAGATTACTTCCTGGAAACTGAAAACAGTACTGCAGTGTAAATGCACATTTATTTATTCCTTCCTTCCTTCTCAAATATTTCAATTCAACTGCTTTTTTCTACTGGAAAAATCTTTTCAGTTATTTTCTATACACAATAAGGCAAGCCATACTATGAGTTATTGAATTGTGTGTTGCCGTTATGTGCAAATTTGGAACTCTGGGTTAATAATCAGATTTTTTGATCTAAACATTGCTCAATCAGCAATACTACTGACAATTTTACAAACAGGTTCTAAATTATTAAACTGAGAAACATTGCCACAAATATTATGACAAAATAAGTAAGAATTTGAGTAAGAACAGTAAGAATAGTCAAAAGACTGTCTGCCAATATAAGAGAAGATTGATAAGCCATAGTGTCTACAAGAAAACTAAAAGGAACCTGTATAAATGCTTATACTCCAGAGAACAAACCCCTACTGCTTAGTTTTTAGGCCACACTTAGTTGCCATAATGAAGGGTCAAGAGATGGAGAGTGACAAGCCAAGCATACACAGAGCTAATAGTGTGGATATAGGATATTACAGCACAAATCAGTCATATTGATTCAAGTTGTACTAGAATTTTTACTATGCAAGTTCTAGAAGTTATTCCCTAACAAACAAAACGTAGCAGCAGCAGCCTTGATGAATCAGACCAGATTCCTGTGCAGCACAACATTCTGTTCTCACAGTGGCCAGCTCTCCGTGGGAAACCCACAAGCAAGGGATAAGCGCAACAGCATCCCACCCACATCCATGCTGCGCTCTGCAAAGACAGACTGTCTCTAGTACTGGAGTTGATATATGGGCCATCATGACTAGCAGCCTCTGATCGCTTTCTCTATGGCTTTGTCCTGTCTCCTGTTAAAATCATCCAAGTTGGTGGCTGTGACTGTGAATTTCACAGCATAACTATGCACTGTGGGAATGAAAAACCTGTCCAAAGATGCTGTTTTCTTTAGAAGTGTAGACTGCAATCCTACTTTTTGCCCAAGCTGAGATCCTACTGATCTCAATGGCATTTGCTTCTGAGCAGACATGCATAGTCTTATGCTATACGGCAGCATGCCCAACCTAGTGCCCTTTCAGATATGTTGGGCTACAGTTCCCAGCATCTTCCAGCCAGTTGTTGTCCAGCGCATGAATCTAGAAGGGGCACCGGACGTGGGGGTGGCGGCTGCAAGGAGCAGAGACGAGGCGACGGTTAAGGTCCCCTCCTCACTTCCACGAAATCCTCCGCACCCCCCCCATGTCTCCCCCTCCCCGCAATTCCCAGGCAGCTCTGTAGTAACATGCTCAATTCTGGCCACCAACTTCGCTCTCTCAGGACTGTTTACTTTATAAACGGTAAGCGCTCCAAGAACACTTCTTGAGCAGCCGAGAAACAGCCGACTTTTGTACACTGCGAACTGGGCGCGGAACCCGGGCAGGGAAGGGAGAGAAGGAGGGTTCCGAGTTCGCCCCGACCCACTCGGGCCATGACCAACTTTCCCCCTCCATGGGATTTTACTCAGGATGAAACGTCGACTATCCACGCAGGACCCCACCAGAATTTAGTGGGAACTCCAGCAACTACGACGAAAACTTCTGGATAGAGGGGAGGCCCCCCCGGGGTGGCTACCGCGGTCCCGACTCGTCCCCTCTACAGCGCGGGAAGATGGCTGAACGTCCGCCGCTTCCTTCCTTCCTTCCTCAGTGACCACCCGTTGCTCCCAACTCATGCCTACCATTTCGCGCCGAAGGAACGGCGAGCGCGGCGCTCCAGCCCAGCAGCAGCGGGAGCAGGGCGACGAGCGATCGCCCCATGGCCGCCTCCTCACCCGGCAAGGACGGCGCGACCGCCCCACCGATTCGGCTGCAGCGGAGGTCCTCGGCGGCGGCGGGCGGCTCTGTGGCTGCGAAGGGCAAGGCGAGCGCCGCTGGGAGCACAAGGAAGCGCGCCACCCCCGGAGGCGACCGGCGGAGAGGGCAAGGGCTGCGCAGAATCGTCTCCGCGCTAGTCCGCCATCCCCGCGCCTCTCAGGGCGGAGGACCCCTGCTCGGTCTGGAATGGGGTGTGTCCTTCAGCGCATTTGCCACTGCCCTTTCCTCTTATTCCCACGGAGGTTTACAAATAAGCCGCATAAAACAGTGGACAGGATGCAACGTGCATCTGAAGTTTGGCGAGAGAAAAAAAGAGCTTTCCCTGGGACCAAAGAAGAGTAAGGGAGGTATCAGCCTCTTTGGGAAGAGTGGCTCACAGCTGGGTATCGGCACATCACCCTCGCTGGTAGCCTCCCATCTCATCTCAAATGAAAGGGTACCATTAGGAGCCTTTCATTGGAGATCTTAATGTATGGACAGTACATTAGAGGCAGGTAGTCGTCCTAGTTCCCGATATTGAGCTAAACAGGTCAGATGGATAACCTTTTCAGAGTTCTTAAAGAACACACACATGAAATTGCTGATCTTCTAATATAATAGAAGATATATATTCCTAAGAGCAGCCTCTGTACCAGAGGACAGGTAAATGGCCAATGTTACACCTGCTTTTTAAAAGGGATGGGTGGAGGGCAAGATCCAGGGTAGCTTGATGCCTGTTCTGAATAAATTGGTTGAAAGCATGATTAAAGCTAAAATTATACTGCTGTGAAAGAATCAAGAAACCTTCTGTAAATGTAAGGTGTGTCTTTGAGTGTTGGATGGGGTGTTCTGGCATTTGTTTACCTGAGCTTTGAAAGGGCTTTTGAGCAAACTTAGCAGACATGGACTAGGAAAAGTGACCTTCTTATGGATCAGTTAATGGTTAAAGAACAGAAAGCAGAGAGTAGGAACTAAATTTTCCCAAAGACAGGACACAAACTATGGACTCTCAGTTGGGGAACTTGTTTCCAACTGGGTTGGAAGAGCTCCAAAAGGGTTGGAAGAGGACTGGAAAGCATTGGAAGAGTTCCAAAAGATGTAGAGATGACTACCAATTTTGATGGTTTTAAAAGGTGATTGCACAAATTAGTGGGAGAGAAGGCTATCAATGGCTACTAGTCCTGATGTCTATATGCTTCTTCCAGTACTAGAGGCAGTATGCCTATATATACCAGGTTCATGGGGACCTGGAGCTGGAGAGTACTAATTGTCCTACTTGAGCGTCTCCTGCCAGCAATTTTGGTCTGATCTACCAAAGTTCTTCCCATGACCTTATAAGTAAGGTCAAGAACTTACTGTGCTACTTTTTAGCTGCCTACCCAAGATCGCACAGTACCTATTTGTATTCCCATTCTATTTCCCAATAATTTAGGAAAACTATGATATATTAGCTTCATACAAATAATTGTGAATATAGATTAGAATTGATTATCAGTATGCATGTATTGCCTTGAGAAAGCCATTCTGTTTCTCCATATTCTTTCTAACAGTAGCTTCTTGTTCCTGATACAGGTTATGTACCAGGGCAATCAAGCACTGAGACACACACATTTCTTTGAGCCACACAGTCAAAGGCTCTGTTGTGGTCCATAAAGCATTAACCAATCTTTTTCTGAAATTCTTTGGTGTGCTCCAGAAACCAACAGGGAGCCAGCATTTATCCGCAGACAGTCTCCGTGGTCATGTGGCCGGCATGACTAAACACCAAAGTGCACAGAACACTGTTACCTGCCCACCGAAGTGGTACCTTTTTATCTGCTTGCATTTGCATGCTTTTGAACTGCAAGGTCAGCAGGAGCTGGGACGGAGCAATGGGAACTCACCCCGTTGTGCAGATTCGAACTGGCGACCTTTCGATCAACCAGCCCAGCAGCACAGTGGTTTAAACCACTGCGCCACCTGCAGTCCCCATATATATGCAATATGAACCCAAATTCTTCTTCCTTTTTGGAATCCAGCTTGCACATCAGGCAATTGTTCCATAAAATTCTTTGTTAAAACACCTTAAGAATCACTTTGCTTGCAAGCAAACTTAGTGGAATGATCTTATAGTTGCTGTACTCCTTAGCATCTCCTTTCTTGGGGATAAGAATATATGCTGAATATTTCCAATATATGGACCATTGCTTTGTTTTCTTTATTTGTTGGCATATTCCTGATAGGATTTGGATTGATTCAGTCTCTGTAGCTTAGAATAGTACTATTACTACCCTATCTACTTGGGGTACTTTATTCTTCAAGTGCCTTTGCAGCAGCTTTCAGTTCACTTTCTAGTATTTCAGGTTCTTTCCTATAGGATTCCTCTTCAAAGGAATTGATCTTCCTTTTATCTCTTTTTATAGTTCTTTTGTATAGTTTTCACCTTCTCTTTATTTTATCTTGGTCTGATAGTATGCTCCCCTATTGGTTTTTTAGCATTCCTAATCTAGATTTGAATTTCCCTTGCATTTCTTGGATCCTCTGGAAGACTTCTCTTGTGTTTTCTCTTTTGTAGTTCTCTTCTATTTGTGTTGACCATTGTAATAGTTCTTTTAATCTCTAAGGGCTAGTTACTGAAACGTTGCATTCAGGATTCTGACCCTACTTCTGTCACCGTTTGCTTCTTGCCTGTCCTTAGCAGTCATAAGAGTTTCTTCCATCATCTATCTAGGATTTTCCTTTTTGCATTTGGTCCCTAATAATATCTCTGGTTTCACTCCAGAGTTCTTGTTCATGGTCAGTTGAGTGCAATAAAGCAAATCTATTCTTTACATGGAAATTACATTCTTCAGAAATGTCATTTAAGTTGTAGTTTGGCAATATACTTCTGTTAGTGATCATTTTCAGCTTTACTCACATTTTTGATATTGTTCATGGTCATAAACACAATTTGCTCCTGGTTTTCGTTTGGCAATGAGTATATAGTTTCTTCATTTGGTACTTCCAATTATGCATTCTCTTTGATTTCTATATTGTCCATTTGTTGATGTTCATGTGTACAGTTGTCTGATCAGATGCCTGAAGTATGTATTTGGGATGAATAGATTGTTGGATTCACATAATTCTATGTGTTTTTCTCCTGCTTCCTTTGTGACCTAGAGGCCAAATTCTCCCAATATTTTGATTGTTTCCTACTTTTGTATTGCAATCTCCTATGAGGACCAGCATGTCTTGTTTGGGTGTGTTATCAATTTCCTATTGGATGCTTGAGTTCTTGATTCCTTCCTTTTCTGCATCTGTTGTTGGAATGTAATCTTGAATGATTGTCATGTTAGGGTTTTCACAAATTCTGGTCAATAGTATTCAGCTAGACTTTGCAATAAAGACGCTTACTACATCTTGCCTCAGTATTAGAATCACTCTGTTTCTTCTGAGTTTGTCACTTCTGGAGTAAAACACTTAAGTGTTTACTTTATGGTTTTCTGTTTGCTTTGATCCTTACTTCTCATGTTCCATGTTCCAATTGTACATGTTGTGCAACACTGGACTTTCCTTTCACCTCTCACTAGTGAAAGTGCTATTCATACATGTCCTCTGAGTTTCCCCAGTAGCTGATTTGAGTACCTTCTAACATGGAAATCTCATCTTCTGGCATTATCTCTTGTTTAATTTTGGATGGTTTCATCACAGAGGTTTCAAGATTTACCATTACCTTCATCTTCACAGTACTAACCAGAATTAGCTTAAGCATCATCTGCCATTATCTGTGAAAGATCCTCTGCTAGTACTGCTTTCAACTATTGCTGCTGCCCAGCAGCTGCCCTTAAGGAGTTTCTCCACATCCAGCACCATTAAAGATATCCATTCTCTTCTGCTGATGTGATTGTTACTCCTGAAAAGTGTGGGTGTATCTTAGTTTGGTGTCTCAGATTTGACCATTCTGCCTTGGGCGACTGCTAGGAGACAAGACTTAAGGCAAGAGTGTGTCCTCCTAGGGGCACTGCTCCTGGCTTTTCTGATATTCTCAAACGCCCTCACCACATTAAGATGTGCACCAAAGACAAGAAAATTCAGAATAGTCTGTTAATATGTATATATCGCACATGACTGCCATACTTTTGTCAGGTCTGATCATGAAACTTTAACTTGCTGAAAATGTACTGTGGATAGTAGGAAAAGAAGACTTGAATTCTTCTCTTGGGGATTGATTTTGCCTCTCTTGATAACCTGAAACCTGATCCTCTTGTCCCATTTTCCCCAAGTCAGTCAACACAGTTTTGCAATGGAAGATGTCTGGAGAAGTAGGTCTGTTTCCTTCAATCTACCAGTGATTAGAATGCTGCTAATCAGATGAAAAGGTATATTTGTATATCAACTGATTAAGATTATTGCCTTAAATAGACTGAATCTCTAGTTAATGCTTACATTTTTTTTTGCAGGAATGAACTTGGAGGTGGAGAAGTCCATTACAAAGAAAATATTGACTGTACCAGGGTTTTAAGCATAAAGTAAGTTACAGGTTACTCCTGCAATTGGAATTATAATGCCAGGTTTCAACCTTCTTAAGAAACATTTGGCACTCATTAGTCTTTTTACCATATTTAGCCCTTCACAGGTATCTTTTGCCAAGGCTGGAAAGGGCTTTTCCCTCTGGAATATTTTAATGGTTCTGCCTAATATCACAATATCCTGTGAGAGAAGAGTGTCTTTGACTTTCTTTCATTTTAATCAGTATGATGAATCTACTCACTCAGGTATCCCAGAATTGACATACTCAATTCTCCGAACACTCTAACAGTGAATTATTGCTCCAGAATGAGAAAGAAGGCAGGCATTTGGTAGTGCTGGAAATGCTACACTTGCTATGTGAGAATGAGGGCAGGGTATGAGGACATTCCTTTGGCATTTTAGTCAAACCTTCCTCCCTCCAATCCCCTTCAGAATGTAAGGGATGTAACTCAGCTTTGGAAATGGAGTAGGAATTGTCTTTCGACAAAGTAAGGTTGCTTACTTGTAATTGACATTCTTTGGGTGGTCATCTGTGCATCACGAATATGGACTCTGTGCCTGAAAAGTGCCTGTATTTGAGAAGTTTCTTCTAGCTAAGCTCAGTACTTTTGGCAGAAGTCCTGCCCCCTTTCCACTAGTATAAGTACGCAGGGCTCCTGCCATTTTCCCCAGTGAACTTTTGACCACTGTCTTGAGTTCCTCGAGTTTTCTAGCTTTGCCTCTCCTTAGATACTTGGCTTCTAGAACATTCTACTCTAACCACCTCAAACTGATTTCTGGATCCACTTTACTTCATACTTTATTTATGTCTGTTTTGCCTTGGTGAAGAACACTGAGTGGACTCCTGCCCTCATTGCCAGGCTTTTACTAAGCAAGCCAGGAATAACCAGGCAGGCTGCTTGAAGACAGAAATGTGGACCAGGGCTCTCCTGGCAATGGAAACCGTCATCAGAGACTCACAGGAACATTCCTCCACATCCTGCGCAGAGGCCAGGCTTCATGCTCCATCAGCAGTCTCATGAGACCTGCCAACCACTATCGGTGCCTGGAAAATCAGGCATGAGAAAATGCCTCATAAAATGACAGTGGGGCCGAAAAAAGGCTACATCAAAAGGCAAAGAAAAGCCTGTGAAATGGGCCAGGTACTGCTCTCCGACTGCAAAGAAGCATGTCCATTCACCTTTCCCACCAGTGGCCCTTGCTACTGTTGCAGTGCCAGCCCTTCCATCAATCCCTGCCTCCTCTGCTGCTGCGTCTGTCCCAACATCTGTCTCACTGGTGGGCTCAGAAGGAAGTCCTGTACCAGCCGCAGCACCATTGTTCTCTAAGGATCACTGACCGTAATCCAGACCAGCCCAGCACCCTTGGCACCATTTTGGTTTGGGGACTGCCTTAAAGACTATCTTCTTGAATGGGAAGCCATAACTTCAGATCAGTGGGTATTATCCATAATACAACACTGATATTGCATTGAGTTTGACACCCTACCATCACTTGGAACAGTCCATACCACACCTCCCTTCTCAGCCTTGATGGAGAAAGTTAATACCTTATTATCAAAGGGACTGATCCATCCTGTTCACCCATCTGATGTACATTATGGTTTCTATTCTAGATATTTTACCATCCCAAAGAATGATGGAGGCCTCCATCCAATCCTAGACCTATCAATTATCTCCAACAAAAAGTTCTGAATGGTTTTTCTACAAAATATTCTTCCATTGCTATGCCAAGGGGACTGGTTTGCAACAATAGATTTAAAGGATGCATATTTCCATATATGTATCTACCTGCACTATTGCCACTTTCTGATGTTCCAAATTGCCACCACGCCGTATTAATTTTGAGTCCTACCATGTGGACTCTCTACAGCTCCAAGAGTATTCACAAAATGTATAACATACATACATACAAAATGTATGACAACTCTTCAGTCAACTCCTGAGGTTCACACTTTTGTAACCACCAAATACAGCAACACAACACACTTATTTCACATACACTGATTAGGAGTTACAGACCTATATGTAATATTGAAAAGAAAACATTTAAAAGCCAACTAGATGCTGATTTATTGCGTTTTATTTGTGAATTTTTATCTTTTCTTACAAAAAAAGACAGGCACAATTTATTTATTAAAATACCTCAAGTACATTGCAAAAAAACCAATCACTGTTCAAATTGCCCCTTTACACTTAAATTAAAAGGCTGTGTATAGAAGGTTCCAATGAGGCAGTAGTGCATTTTTAGTAGGAATGAATTGCAAAATATATATTTTTATACAGTAAATGTTAAATTTATAATTACCCATAAAAACTTTAAATTGCACAATAATTAATTTTACAATTGCTGGTCTCTGAAAGAAGTTATAGCATTTGAGAAATATTTGCTACAATTATTCTTTAGAGACACAGATTAGGATTTATTTTTCCTATGAATAATCATATAAGGAAAACTATATTTGGTAACTGGGATATATCACTTTTATTGGGAAGGGACTCCTATATATGTTGTTCAGATAAGGGCCCTGCATATTTAAAAGATCAGACACATGATGGTTGGATGCCACTAAGTTATATCTTTTTAATTGAGTACCAACACCACAGAAATCTGAAAGTGTTTAAGCTGATTTGGATTTTCTTAATTTCCTACTGTATTACGAAAGGAATGAAAAAGGCACGTGAGTACATTCTTCTGAAGATAGATCTGCTGTATAATAGTTTCAAATAATTAAAATATAAAGACCCAGAACTTGGACTTGATTTGGAGGAGAATCCACAATATCCTTGCTCTTCATTTTCCATAGAATTTTTTGTTCAGCAGGAATATGAGGAGGTTTACATTCACTTTAGCTTTATCAAACATTTTCATTACAGAGACACCTTCATACTGCATTTGAAGCAAATCCTACAATAACAAAGAAAATTGTTAAATATCATTTTGGAAATCTAGCTATTTTCACACATTTTAAATTAGATAATCTTAAAATACATATATTTACCCTTATTGAAAAGAAGTAAAGTTATAACCAAAGTCAAATACCCCAAGCCCCATTGATTTGAAATGTAGAGAAAATGAAGCACAAAACAAAAATATCTATAAGGTGCCTTCATATATAGTGCTTAGCTTCAAATTCAACTCCTAATGCATCTTTTCTGTTACTAATATGCAACGGTAAGTTAAACATCTCAAACTCTTCCTGTAGCTGGAATGCACTGGCTCTTATCTAGTACGGTAATCAAATGGTCTTGGATAGCTTTTGCCAGACCTGGTGGTAGGCATGTGTTCTTTTTTTCTTAATTTGGAGAAGATGCATGCCTCAGTGTTAGAAAAGGGTAGGACATTGACTGAACAAACAAAACCCCCAAAGTGTTCTCAAAATAGTGATGCACTGGAGGTGGTAACAATAGGCTATAGCTGATTTTTGACTGTTTTAATAAGGAACAAATTCTTGCATTTGATTGATACAGGGAAAAGCAAAAACAACAACAACACAGGCAAACATTTTTGGGAGTTCATAAAATAGCATTTTCACTGGTAAAGGAGCTATCTAATCAGTGCTCATGACACTTGCACAGCCTAGAATATCAAGGACACAGATAGCTTACAAGATATTTTATGATTTAAAACAAAGTTTACCTGAAAATGGAGCTGTACCTTTTCCATCTCAACACCCAAAAATTTAGCTTTGATATCAAAGTCACCCACCTCTTCACCAGGTGTAATTTCAAACATCACATTCTTAAACCTTAGAAGAGAAAAAAATACCACTTATATGGATGAATATATTTGATGCTAAAAAGTAAATGTGTTAAAAACTACAAGTACAAATGAAATTAAGCAAATCTAAATTCAAAATCCAAAAACTTTACTAAAAATGTAATTCATGCTCTTTAACAGGTAACTAGCAGAGTTAATGTTCTGTACAGATTCAGTGCAAAACTTACTGGCTAGGCTGAAGCTCGTCAATTCCTAGTATAACCCCCTTTTCATGTAGCCTTGCTGCTGTGTACTTCAGTGAAATATTCTTAAGCTTGTTTACTTTCTCTTCTTGTTTTCCATTTAATTTGATTGATCTCCGTGAATTTCTATAAAAATAAAAAGATGTAAACAGATGTAGCCCACACAGACAGCATATTTTCCCTTCTCCTAGCTAGTTAAGGCTAAAGTTCTTAGGTTCAAGGACAAACAATCTCTCTCCTACACTGTGTTATTAAGAACCAAGACAGTCACAATTTGTCATATATGGTAACTTGGAAAATCATTTGGAATGTGTAAACGCAGTGCTATTAAAGGACTGGGGAATGGATCATAACCTCATCCAATGCATTCAAAGTCACTGCTGTTGACTGAAAGAATGAAGAGTTGCAGGATGTACAGCTGCCTGTGTGACAAGGTATCATCATCACCTTTTAGGGCAGTGATGAAGAAAATGTGAACTCCAGATGTCTTTAGAATTCCTTAACACTGGCTATGTTGGCTAGGCCTGATGGGATCTGCAATTCAAGAACATTTGGCGTTGTCTACCCTGCCCAATTATATGGGTGAGGAACATCTGGCCACTAAGACTTTTGTTGGACTCCCAAGCCCATCAGCTCCAAACAACGTGGCTAATGCTTAGGGAGGATAAGAGTTATTAATTAATTAATTAATTAATTAATTAAATGTGTATGCCGTCCAATTACTTGCATCTCTGGACAGCTTACAACGTAAGTAAATTTATTTATTTATTTTATTTATTAAAACATTTTTATGCCGCCCCATTCGCCGAAGCCTCGGGGCGGCTTACAACAAATTGACAACCCACTCTGGCTGCAAGTTAATAAATATTACTTTGACAGTCACAAGCTGTCCACTTCTACTCTACGGCATCCAACAATTAGGACTGCTGCACCACACAGATGCCTAGCATAGTCAGCTTGTATTATTTCCTCAGGTGGTGCAGTAGATGGAAGAACCAATTCATGGCAACATATCCCAAAAGAGAAGCGCTATTAGAGCTCGTAGCATGTTTCACTTGCTTCACAAATCAAGTTATTTATTTGAAAAATACAGTTATCCTAAAGTCTTACTGCTACAAGATTTTTGTTGCATTATTCAAACATTCAGTAATCTATTTGGTGATGTTCAGCCCACCTCATTTATTCTGATGAATATGGGACAGTTTCCGGTTTTACTCAATTATGTAACTTGAAAACAGTTACATAATTGTAATTGTGATTGTAAAATCTGAATTTGCTTTAAAATTAAAGGCACAGATCTCCAATTGCCAGCACGATAGAACCAACATGGGTAGCTGAGGTTCTCCATGCTGAGAATTGTAGGCCATTTCTTCTGTCTTAATATACATAAGATTGTGGCCTAAAACTGTGTTTCACTCACTTTCTTGTCAAATTATCTAAACAGGTTTTAATATAAGTGTTGTAATAGTTTATCTGATCTTCATAGAATGCTTTCTTGGAATTGAGGGCATTCAGCGTCTGCTGCAGTTTCACCAATTCTGCTTTTCGATGTTGCCTGTACCTTCTTTGATTTCTGATATCCTAGAGAATTGGGGGAGGGGGAGGGGAAGTGAAAAAATAATGATTTATTTATCTCCTTAAATAGATGTGGAAATCTAACCAACAAAAAATGTAATCAATCAAAATTTCAAAATGGACCAGCAAATACTTGAGGCATGCATTTCTATTTACCATTTAGTAATTAGAATTGGATCTCATGTATGCAATAATATAGTTTTCTTTATAATATGGATTGCAATGATTTGGGACAATATTTTCTCTTTAGCATGAGCTTATATTCAGGTTAAGAGGACAGAAATAGTTGAAGAAGTTTAATAAAATTCCAAAAACCTTTGCTATTTCATTGATGATCTCTTGGTACTTATTTTCTGATGAAACCAGTCCAGCCTGTTCCAGTGTCCGGAGGTTTCTCTGGATTTTCCTTTTCTTCTGCTCTAATGGTAGTTGTCCTTCTTCAAGAATAGATCGACTGTGTTTCATTTTTTCTGGAGTTTTGGAATCCAAGATGGCACGTTTTTCTATCACTTTTAAGTGTTCAGCTTCCTAAAAGAAAGAGCAGTTGATGCCTTTAGAAAATAAACAGGCACATTAACGATGTACAGTTCACAGACTCACAAGTGTGAAACCTTACTACAAGAATTGTGTACAGGTCATTGTGTGGGACTGAGTATGCAGTCTTCCTGATCCACTGGAATATAAACCCAATAGGTGGAAGATACTTAAAGTATCATCTACTCCAGTGGAACCCAAGCTTTTGACAAGAATCCCAAAGATCCTGACATTCTGAGTAAAACTCTGTTCAGGGGTGGAAACTAAGTCTGCATGGAATCCATTGTCTCTAATCCTATTTGGAACAGATCAGGATGTATAACTGTCACTAGTGTCCTAAATCTATGGAAAATCTGCCATCATATCTTCTCTTTGCTTTTCTTTCTTTTGTTTAAATGCACCCAGTTAATTATTTTATTTTGCTTTTTATTTGAACTAGTCCCAGATTTCCTGTAGCCTTCCTGCCACTCCAAATTCTTATCTGTTTGCACAGCACTCTACAAATACCTCACAAATATTTCACTGTATGTTCCTGTCATTACAGTGATACTTTAAGATTATAAAGACTGGCAGCCCTGAAAGTACGTAAAAGATTTTAAAACACAAATATTCCCACACAGTTCCCACAACACTTTCCCAGATAGTTCTATGTTTTTGTTACATAACCAAATTAAGACTAGTTCAAACTGTTTCATTTCATATATAAAACCCATCATGTTATCCTGAAAGCATCAACATGAGACAGTGAAGCATTAACATGGGCTTCATTAAACCAAACATGCTGAGATTGTGTGCGTGTAATATAATTATACATATTATATACCAGTTGAGTGTGATTTGAATCTCTTAGGTTTTTGATTTGTTTTTGCCCTATTAGTTTTATCAATCCTGAACAAGTGCACCTGAAGTAATCACTACAGAAATCAGTAACATACTACAGCTGATAGTCTGAAATGGAAGAAAGCAGTGGATCCAGAGAACATAAAACACTATTCACAATAGTTATAACTGCAAGCTGACCTATTTAGAATGCTAATCTAGAGCCAGCATGGTATAGTGGTTAGATTTCCTGATAAACCTGTTCCAAATTCCCACAGCCTTAAAGTCTGCCAACTGGCCTCAGGCCATTTAAATTCTTTCAGCCTAACCTATTTCAGAAGGTTTTTGTAAGGAAAACCAGGATGATGGGGAAGAGAGACCAATCCCATATGCCACCCCAAATCCCTTGGAATAGGGCAGAATAAAAATGTAATGAGTAATACATTCAATTACATTTGGTCTTTGATAGGAAACTAGCTAGGTTTTATTGACCATAAAATTACTCTTAAAATTATAAATTCATAAAATTACTCTGTCGGGATTAAGTCTTCAGAATCAAAGAAAATATATTTACCTGAAGTTCAGATGCTGGTATTTCCAAAATTTTTGCAAGTGACTCTCCTGGCTGGGCTCGTATCACATCAACAATTAGCCTTTTTGTCCTTAACGGAAATGTTAAAACAATGTTGATTCACAGAAAGGCATTTCATAGTGCAGCCTATACCTGTTTACACCCCTTTGCATTGAGTGTAGTTAATTCCTAAATAAGTGTGCATAGCATTGCACTTCAGTGCCTCAACAGTTTAAATGCAAACAAAACTAAAAGCTGTTGTTACTGGCAATAGTCACTGTATATAAAACCATCTTTTTATGAATGAAAGTGTCTGAACTACATTAAATCTATCCCAGTGTTAGGAAAGAATGTTTTTATCTGCACAGGCCTTTTAGAATGTAGCATGAACTTGTCTGAATCTGCTTTTATTCAATCTGATGAAGTTTTAAATTGATTTGTTGCTGCTGATTTGCTTTTATGGTTATTTCTTATATCAAAATACTGTTTTTTATTGTGTGCCACCCTGGTATGTGTTACTCAAGGACAGCCTAAAGATGAGGCAATTCCATATTGGAATAGAATATTCCTTTTTATATTGTATGTTCCTGTGGGCAATTTCAATACAACTAGCTCTAAAATGGGGTCTCTCTCTCTCTCTCTCTCTCTCTCTCTCTCTCTCTCTCTCTCTCTGTGTGTGTGTGTGTGTGTGTGTGTGTGTGTGTGTGTGTGATGCAGTCCTGCTGAATCAGGACTTCCCTGTTTGATACATTTTGGAGACAGGCAAACACTCCCAGACCTTTAAAGACAATAGATTTCCTGCTGTTGCTGATAGGTTTTGTTGTTGCTTTACTGCTCATTCAGCTACTTATCAACTGTACTAGTTTGGGTTTTCAATGACATCTTAATAGAATTCACTAAGCTTACTTGAAATTTGTTTGGTTATAAAGCAGGGGTGTAGAATTTTGGAAAACCTCAGTACCAGTCCTTACAGCTGCCACCACAGGCACAGAACTGTAATGACGGTGGGTTTAGAAAGACAAGGTTGTGAGGGACTCCTAGTTCTTCCATGTCATAGGAAAATAGAGTATGTGAATATGGACTGTGTTGAGGGGGCGACAGCTTTGGAAGTTGTAAAAATTACATGGGAAACAGCTGTTCTTCTTACTTGAAAATGAAAGTCTAAGTTAATTATGTTTTCTCAGAATAAATGCCTGTGTTCATGCTTTTAAAGACTGTACTGCCAGCACCCTTGTAAAATCCAAGGCAGCTGTTTCCTTTGGCTTCCTGTAAAGTCTAATCTATATCCTGCTATTCAGCCAATTTCTATTTCATAAAACCTTATGGAACAGTTACTGTGTGTTCTTTCCATTCTTTTCCTGGGAGCATCTTACTTTAAAGATGTATCTGAACAGGATCACAATCTATTATTTCATTTTGAGTGATACACATTACTGATAATGCAGATGCTGCTTCAAAATACTATCCCTTAATTAAATTACTTGCTTATTTGGTGTCTTCCTTCTAGTAATTACATTCATTATGCTCAACATCCATGGAAATTCTGTTAATCCATATATGTCTCTGTATGCTTAGGGCCTAAACCACAAGTTTCCCTCCAATTAAGAAATACTCTAAAAGTTGATGCTACATCATCCCTCTATAGGTTTCAACTCTTCCATATTTGTAAGTCTATTTTTGGCTAAAACCACAACTGATTGGACTAAAGTCCACATGGAATGAAAGGTCTGATGGAAAGGGTGAGAAATTGTTATATTAATAACAAATTAAGAATATTCCATTTTGACAGAAGTTTGCTAATACTAAATTTTATAAAAACATACTTCATCATCAAGCCTTTGATATCTTGTTCTTCATCTTCATGTAAATCATATTTCCTGGTCAGTGAAAGAGAAATCTCTGTCTTAACCAGTTGACTTATGGTGTTATCCTTGTTAGGGTCATTGGGATCAATCGCTCCTTCCCCTACAGAGAGAAGGAAAAAATTTTAATGCTTCTAAATATATGCTTATGCTCCTAGTGAGATTAGTGCTGGCACAAAACACAAAAAAACCCAGAGAAAGATGGTATTATATAGCCATACATAATCTGTACATTTAAAAAATCTACACTGAAGCAGCAATCTTTATGTCCAAATGACACAACTTAATCAGATATGCTTATAGTTTTCTAATCAGCACAATTTATTTTGCTTGTGTTAGCCATAAAGATGGTAAGGTGCAAGGAACTGCTGCTGAACAGTGAAGCCCTATTTTGGCCGCATAAAGACTTCAACATGTCTCTGCCATCTAATATTTTTGCACCAGTATCACCCATACTCCTTCAACATTTTCACAATAAGAACTTGACTTATTAATCTGGTTGGTGAACACTGCTCTAAACACAAATCTTTGGGCTTCTGTCATGAATACATGAACCACCAAAACACATTCTAGACTCAATATAAATACAATGAGCAGGTTCATAAAACATGATAAGCCAACTGCATAGCAGCCTATGAAGTGTAGCTTCTAAACAAACCATCCTGCTTCAAATGCAACTGACAGATGATTGAGCACATCATGATTAGCAGCTGCTTCTCTCCCTCTGGACCTCCCACAGGTATCACATGGGTTGCCATGGGAAGAATAAGGCTGTCCCCCTCCCACCTTCACTGCAAGCCCTTTTGGGTTCACTGTGGCCTTGGCCCTGCCCTAATAATCATAAAAGCCAGCTATCAAGCTAGCTTCCATGTTTCCCATGTGGGAAGCCACAAACAACCCCTTCAAAGTCCCACAACAGAACCTTAGAGAGGTGCCTGTGGCTGTTCAGCATGTTTTTAAAAATGTGCATGCAGAAATGTACACAAAAATATTTATTAAAACGAACTGCAGGTGCACAAATGTAATTCATTTAAGCAAATCCATTAAGCATGGATTTCAAGCCTTGGCTGGGGCAATATGTAGCAGGGTGCCTGGTGCCAAGAAGCAGTAGCTACCCACTGTAGACCTTGACCAGAGAAGGCTCAAAATCCTTCTGACACATTCAACCTGAATTCCCTATTACAATTGCTTTTTATAGGCTCAGATGTTCCTACAAAGATTTGAGAAAAGGTTGCAAAATTTCCCCAAAGGTTTGCAAATAATCAGAAAAGGAACATTATCAGCACATAAGACATTAACTGTGCAGACCGGTCTATACCCCTGAACAGGATTTCTTCTGCTACTTCCCACATACCCATACTATTATTACTGGAGTTCTGCGAAAGTCCTTCTATTTAAATGATCTAGGTTGCACAGAAAAACCAACCATGTGTTATCAAGGCCATGCTGCCTCCTGTCCTGTTGCTGCTTCTGCATTGCCTCTGCTTTACCAAGCAACCTAGGAGCATCCTGTGAGACGCAAACCCAGAGTTTTACCCATGGTTTGTTGCCAAGACTCTGCGTCATCTTATTAGTAAATAATTATTTCCTGGAAACTCTTTGACTTTCATACTCAGACATAAACAAGCACACATTTTTAAAGAGCTATGAACTAGGACTGTTCAAAGTGTTGTAGCATTACTTGTGATTTAGAAAAATAGGCAAAGATGGCTCTGATTCGGTAACAAATGGATCCAGAGTATTTTACATTCATACATGGGGATTCTTGTAGCCTTCAGCTATAGCCTCATTGCAATGTATGGCTGTGAAAACTGGACCATAAGGAAGGCTGAGCACCGAAGGATTGAGCCTTTGAACTGTGATGCTGGAGGAGACTCCTGTGAGTCCCTTGGACTGCAAGGCGATCAAACCGGTCAGTCCAAGAGGAGATCAACCCTGACTGCTCTTTAGAAGGCCAGATCCTGAATATACAATTCAAATACTTTGGCCACCTAATTAGAAGGAAGGACTCCCTGAAGAAGAGCCTAATGCTGGGAACAACAGATGGCAAAAGAAGAAGGGGACGGCAGAGGATGAGGTGGCTAGATGGAGTCACTGAAGCAGTCAGCATGAGCTTAAGTGGACTCTGGGGGATGGTGGAGGACAGGAAGGCCTGGAGGAATGTTGTCCATGGGGTCGCGATGGGTCGGACATGACTTCATGACTAACAACAACAACATAGCCTCATAGCAACGAGGCCAAGTTTGACTCTTAATGTAACTTTGACAGTCCCACTCCTGAAAGTTGTACAATGTGATATGAGTACCAAGGGGAAAGAACATGCTTTCATTACACTTCAGTACTGAGAGATTGAAGGGTCAAAGGTTTCCTTTCAGCCTCTCCTCTTCCTAGAAAGACATAAGCTAGAAGATATTAAGGAAACAAATAAGGAACTTGAATTCTTGGTCATCTTGAGTTCTTGGTCATCTTCCTAGCCAACTATGAATGAGGATATGAGAAAGAAGAAAATGCGATGGGAAAGTTCCAAACTGCTATCTAGTCTGCCAGGTCAGAGCATAACAAGGATGTGTGCCACTGTCTCTTATTCTTTCTGATGCACAGATTTCAAAGGAGGAAATGTCCCCTTTCCCTGGCCATATAGCAGAATGAATGAAATTATACCAGAACAAGTAAATCTTATACCCTTAAAATGGGGGATAACAACAATAATGGACCATGTAGATAATTTCACTGGCTCCATCCTAAGACCTAAGAACCATTGTTTTTGTTTCTGTTTTAAATGAACATGAAGATGTGCATTAACCACCCTTCAGGCACTTATATATTTCTTTTATTCTCATGTATGATTTAGCAAATCAATCTTTCAGCTATGTTTTTGTTGTTACGTGTTAGCTCACCAAGGAAGGTCTCCACATCAGGAACATCCCCCAGGCTCTGCAGGAGTTCATTTAAGACATCATTTCGGTCAGGAGCAATGGCATCTTGATGTTCTAGCAAGAGCTGTAAAGAAGACCACTTTTGTTGAAACTATTGAAAACAATCTGACAGGCTTCCACATGTGACTATTTACACAAATATACTGTTCAGTCCATGTGCTGTAGTGGTTAGGGAGCGTGACTAGGACTCAGAAGTTCCGGGTTCTAGTCCCTACTTGGCCATGAAGCTGACAGGTGACTTTGGGCCTGTCACTGACTCTCAGCTTAAGCTATCTCACAGGGTTATTGTGTGGGAAAAAGGGTGGGATATAAATATAATCCACTGTAATAATAATGAATTGCCAGGAAGGAAGGAAGGAAGGAAGGACGGAAGATAAGAACATCTGAATAAGGACCACAAAAGAAATTATGGCAATGGGGGCAGGGGAAATAAATGAACAATATACAGTTCCCGAAGAAGAATATGCAATTCACACGCTATCTGAGTTGGGAGGAAGCAACACATAAGCAAGATACAGATCAAATCACACTTTCCTGTGTCACACTGAGAGTTACTCCTGATTTTTTTCTTCACTCCTTTTGCATAGTCAACATTTTATAATGAACTTTAGAAATTTTATAATGGGAAAATATGTATATGAAATGTATATTTCAAATGTGTATATGAAAGGAGACTGAAAGGATACTCCTACAATAGGCTCTTGATCACTTAAAACTATAATTAAGGGTCAGGCAGTATGGCACCACTGTTATTCTAGCTTTAAAAAAACCCTATCCTGGCTATTGTAAAAACTAGCCAGGACTCATCCCCTACAAAAAGTCACCATCAACAGAGAACCATCAACCATCAATACCATAGGAAAAGTTATTTCATTAAAGCTTCCATAATCAAACTTATAAAGTAAGGCAAAATAATATACAGGGCATAGGTAGGAATAGCAAGCAGACTTGTAGTTTGGAAACAAAGAACATATTAAGAGACAATAAATTTAATGTATTCTGCAAGGCAACTGCATCATACAAAGGGTTTTTAAACCATTAAAATCCAATACTTCACAGTATTTTTGTGCCAAAGTTAATTTATGAATGGAAACAATTCTCTATATAGATTTCCCCACTGTGCTGGATGGCAATATAGGTCAGGTTGAATGGTGATGGTGGGTGCTCAAGCACAACCCATCTGGAGGGCTCTCCATGGAAATAAGTGATACAGAACTGCAGGGGAGGGGCAGAAAAGAGATATCAGATGTTTTGGACTTCTGTCCCAGCATTCCTGACCAAAACATAAGCAAAATAAATCAATTTCTTTAACTTCCACCAGGTTCTAAATCGGTAAGTGCAAAAAAATATTTCAATCAGATTCAGGAGACCAGTTAATAAGCCTTCCAAGCTCAAAAATATTCAGAGAATCTAAAATGGGACATACAGCCATATTTGAATAGTCTTCACTCATACAAGGAATAAAACAAGAATCTCAATTCAGAGTTCTCATTAAAAGATTCTCAGTTAACTTTTTACCCTCATTTTCTGTGTCAGCAACTATTGTCAATTCTTATCACAGAAACATCCAGCTCTGTAAATAAGAATTACTGCAACAGCTTCCTTGACTAAGAAGTTTATTTTTTTAACATGGTCATAAAATCCATGTTTGACGTATGTGATTGATAGATAAGTGTGGATGGTAGGAATAGACCAAAGGATTGCCTACAATTAGCCTCCTTGTTTCTACATCTTCCATTTTGATGATGCTGCTAAGGAGTTGTTGGAACTACAAGCAACTCCTTAGCTGTGCTTGCTTTGTTTAAAAAAAAGTGGAAGGCTGTGATAATAGTAAAACCTGCTACAGTTATTTAGCATTTCCCGATACAGTATTTGCTTTTTACTGAATATAGATATGAACATCTAGCATATTAAAGCAATAAAACTGAACAGGTGCTCCCTACCATGGTTGTGGTACCTGCCTTACAAGGATAAAATAATACTATCTTTATACTAAATACGACAAAAGCAGAGGAGTTATTAAAACCAGAGCAGAAATAAAATTAATGTACGCATTTTTTAGGATTTGAAAAAGGGTTTCTTCATTTCTAGAATACCTCTTGTCCTCTATTTGGTTGCTCATTGTACTTAAAACTGCATCACTGTGGTTGAAACTATTATCGCATAATTCTAGCAAGACTTCATCTTGCTAAGTTTGGGTATTATTTAACACTGCAGACTTCTAAAACCAATGTATCAATTTAAGAGTATATATCTTTTGAAAAGAATTCTGCTAATTTTGTTTGCATTGTTACATTTCATGTCCTGCTGCTCCTTTGATATCCCTCCCTTCATTCCAAAACAACCATTCCTGGGGTTCCCTGTAGAGAGGGAAAGAATACTGAACCAAGGTATATATTATAGTACAGTATCATCTACTTCGTAGTGCATTTACCACCTTTTCAGTCTGCTTCTAAATAGCAGGGCTATTTCCTACACCAAACAGTAAGCCAGTCTAATGTTCTGTGGTACTTCTTGTGCTTTTGCTACTTAAGACAAATAGGACTATGAACTGTCAAAAAAAAAGTTTGTGGTTCCTCAAGAACTAGGAGGCAGAAGGCTTTTTACTCTACATTACAGGCAAATGAATAAGGGGCATATTTATGCATCCAGTTACTTTAACCATTTGATCAGAAACAGTTGTTCACCACATAATAGCGCATGTTGTAAAGGCAATTATTTCAAGTTTAAAAACTGAGAAATTTGTTCATTTTACTGCTATGAAGCAGTACTACTTACTCCTGCACTACTCTTGTGCAGAAATAATAATTACATTTGTGATTACAGAAAAATGCGCAAGAGAGAGAAATAGAAAGCAGCAGCTAAATTATTGCTTAACTGTCGCTGCTTTACTTGGCAACATGAAGACAGGGCTACATTTAATCATACACATTCATGCTGAAGTAGCAGTTTAGTCTGCATATCTTATTCATGCCTCTACATACATACACAGACCGAAAAACAGAACATCAACTGCATAGTTGCATTGCTTGCAAAATAGTCATAAGAAAGGAAATATGCACACTATTCAGTATCATTAAATAAAACCAAGTGACGGACAGTACTCAAGAGTTTGTTTCTGCTTTTTATGAGAGTTGTCATATTGTGCAGATCCTTTGAAAAATCCATATGGTAAAGATAATAGATTAAAGATGAGTCATCTTTAAAAAGTGCTGTTCTTGCGATTCATCTGTTTCTTATCCAACACAAACAATTAATTGGACACCAGTCTTATCCTAAATCAGCAGTTTCCATGATGTATCAGTGGTTTCAACATACAGCAGGAATCCTGAAATTTGTTACTTCATTCTTTCAAAGGAAATGTCACTTTTCATTTTAAGGCACTGAGAAGCATTCTATAATAAAATGCTCAAGAATGTATTAATACCAGAAAAGGAGATTCTTGCCACCTCTTCCAAAATTAAGGACAGTGGATATCATTTGTCTTTTTGATATCCAAAAATTGTACCTCCCAGGAAATATAAAAAATAATTCACTTTCTCCTGAATTGTACTGGGTACTAAATACTTTTTAAAACCTCTGGATTGTTATGGTTGAGTATAAATAACAATCCCACTAATATTAACATATAAATTAAAACTCATTAATTTCAATATGGATTTGCTTCCAATTAAAATATTTATTATCAAGGTTTAAGGCAGGTTGCTTACCTGTAACTGATGTTCTTCGAGTGGCCATCTGTGCAGTCACACATATGGGTGCTGCGCCTGCGCAGTGCCTAGGCTGGAAGATTAAAAAGCTAACGGTTTTTGGCGGGAAAACTCTGCTCCCCTCCCCCTTCATGGTATAAATAGAGCGGAGTGTCCGCCATTTTGTTCAGTCTTGAAGACCGAACGTTCGCCCTCTACAGGTTAAGAATAAAATTAGTTGCAAACGGCATTGAGCCCCAACGGTACCGATGCAAATTACAGCGTGGTACCAAGGCAGTATGTAATGATGGACACCGAGTGGGGCCGGTGGGTGGGTTGTGTGACTGCACAGATGGCCACTCGAAGAACATCAGTTACAGGTAAGCAACCTGCCTTTCTTTGTCGTGGCCTCTGTGCATCACACATATGGGTGATTAGCAAGCTTACCCAACTCGGAGGAGGGAGGTGTCGTCAACGAAGAACGGATGAAAGAACAGCTCTGCCAAAAGAGCAGTCCTGCCTGGCGTGCACATCAAACCGATAGTGCTTGGCGAAAGTGCATGGCCCTGACCACGTTGCAGCTTTACAGATATCCTGGAGCGGGATCCCAGCGGCAAAGGCGGACAAAGTCGCAACAGCTCGTGTGGAGTGACCCCTGGGGGTAACAGGTAAGTCTATTTTTGATAGTTGATAGGCCAGGACAATAGTCTGGGTGATCCAGTGCAACAGCCTTTGAGGTGTGACTGGAAGTCCTTTGTCATGTTCGGAGTACTTAACAAAGAGTCTGTTCGTACGACGGAGGGATTCCGTACGGGAGTGATAGAAAGCGATTGTGATCCGATTGTGTGGGTCTGCCCCCGGAGCTGGATGGATCCAGATGGATTCCTGAAAGCCCTGGGGGAGTTTCCGGCTGACAAGACTGGTGCTCCTGTCGAGGCTCCGGTCGAACTGTGGAACAGGGAGATGACCAGGGCTGTGGACACGATCGCTCCTAAGCGTCCTCTCCCACCAGGCAGAGCCCGCTCTTCCCCTTAGTATACACCTGAATTGCGGGCGATGAAGCAGGTTGGGAGACGGCTAGAGTGTAGGTGGAAATCACGGGATGAATCTGACCAAACACACTTGAGAGCCCACTATCGGGCCTATGCTGTGGCGGTGAAGGCGGCGAAAAAGAAGTTTTTTTCCGCTTCCATTGCCTCCTCACAATGCCGTCTGGCTGAGCTTTTTCAAGTGGTGCAAGGCCTGGTTCGCCCGGGTCCTAAGGAAGATCCGGTTCCACCCTCAAAGGCCTGCTATGACGACTTTGCCAGGCATTTCAGGGAGAAAATCGCTCAGATATGTCACGAGCTGGACACCACTAATGAATCAGAGGTTT